CATCAATTAACCTTTTAATAATTTTCCTATTTTCGCGAACTTTGACATTAAAATTTTCTATTTCAATTTTGCGAGCAGAATCTAGAGTACTGGCAATATTCTGTTGGCCGAGAAGAACAAACCTGGAAGTAGATGATATGTGATCTTTACTTTTGGAATATTTTTCACTGGAACCTGGAACGCGACAAATTTTTCAAATCTGCATATCAAGTTTCTCACCAAACCGATTCTCCACTATTCGAGAATAAAATACATGGCCAACAGAAAAGTTTATTCACAGTTGTACTCCCAGCAAGCCAATCATATTTTGTATACCAATTGAGACTGAACACCCTGTTTTTTTGTTTTTCTCTTTGAATTAATGTTAAGTTTAGATCTGGACATGGACGTTTGCTTTACTTTACAAACAGTTTATCTTCGTATGTTAACTTATTGGAGAGACATTTATTCACGAGAAAGTTAATAACATTTGTATTTCGAACAGTGGAGATTACCTGAGGACCAGATGGGCCTGCGTCCATGTTCATTATTATTTAATTACAAATAAAATTAATCGGAGTATCCACAATCCACTCCTTAACCAAGTACCGAACTCTTTAACGACAACGACTGAAATTTAAAATTTATGCACTCTGCAAAATGCAAAACGCACGTGCATGTTGACCTATGATGTGGACTGAGCTGAGAAGGAGAACCAATCGGATAAGAGCTGCGGCCGGCCTCAAAACTATCTGTCCTAAAGCATTTGATTCCCATAATAAACGGAACCGCTAATACTGTGCGTTGTAAAAACATCGAGCCTCCTATTCCCACATTTTAATCAACCCGTGAGGCCGGCCTAAACGCATGAAAATACATGATTGGTTAGAATAACGCTGCGCCTTTATTTTGTGGTTGGCATAGAAAGTTCAGTTGTCGCGCTAATTTTAAATTACCCCGTACAAAAAAATCCATTTTTCATACCAGTGGAAGAAAAACATTTTTTATGATTATGTATGGTGAGGCCCTGCCTCACCTGCCTCACCTGACAAGCCGCCACTGGTTCCACACAAAACCTGGAAAATTAAAATCCCCAATTTTCAGAATTCTAGTAAAATGTACACATAATTCGCTAAATGAGTCCAAAAATACTTCATAATTAAAATAAGAAATATTAGGTGGAATGTACAAACAAAAAATATTAATTCTACCTCTATCTAAAATTAGGCCACAACCTACCACATCAATGCAAGGTACAATATGTGAAATAGAAGAAATATCAATTGGAACACTATACTGAAGTGATTTTTTATGACCAAAAGTACACCCCCACCTTTAGATAGACCAATTTCTGAAAACTTACGGTCGGATAACGAATATTTCCAAAATAGTGCTCCGTGACCATAAACAGGCTATATTTTTGGAACCACCACGTCGAGGTCTATATCCCTGAATTTTTTGAGAATTTTTAAACAACTTTTTCATAAATGAAATTTTTCACTACCTATGTATGCCAATTTCGGCCCATTTTTGACCATCTTCGAAATTAAACTAAATACATTTTCTCGTAGATTTTGGGCCGTAGAATTCACTTCAGGCCTCATTTCATCGATTACTTAAACCGTTTTTCTAAAATCAATCACCAATAATTGAACTATGCAAATTTTTAGAAATTTAAAAAAAATCGAATTTCACTCCGAATATCTCGAAAATATTGCTCGGTGACCCTAAACACGCTATATTTTTGGAATCATCACGTGAAGATCTACATCCCTGTCAGATCAGTCTTATTTTATCAATAAACTAGCCCCGCCCACCTACCCTCTATTTTCTTAGACAGGCGCGGATCCAGGGGGGGGGCAATGGGTGTAATTGCCCCCCCCTGACGCACGACCGAGGTACTTTATTTTGACCAATTTCAAAATTTTGAAATCGCATTTCATTTTGTAATTACAGTACAATCTCTATAATCCGAACTACGATTACCTGAACATCCAGTAATCCGAACAGAGGCTATTTGAAGTCGATGCCTCTTTAATCCGAATAAAAACTGTGCAATCCGAACTGAACTTGAAAACATGCACCTACTTGCAAAAATGACGCAAGATCTTTCTGCACATGTTGTATGGAATATTTTGAAATTTTTTAAAATTACGATATTTCAATGCACGGAATTAATTAACTAATTCTGGAAAAAAGGTTGAAGTTATCGAAGAAATGAGACCCGAAATCTATAAGAGAAAATATTTAGTTAAGTTTCGAAAATCGTCGAAAATGGGTCGAAATTTGTATGAGGAAAATTTCATTTTTGAAAAAGTTTCCTTAAAATTCTGAAAAAATTCAGGGATATATATCCCGACGTGCTGATTCCAAAAATATACCATGTTTATGGTAACGGAGCAATATTTTCAGAAAATTCGCTTTAAAATTCGACTTTTTCGAAATTTTTAAAAATTGCAATATTTCAACTGGACGATTCTGGAAAAATGGTTTAAGTTATTGAAGAAATGAAGCCAAAAGTGACTTCTGAGGCCCAAAATCTACAAGAAAACGTATTTAGTTAAATTTCCAAAATCTTCGAGAATGGGTCGAAATTTGCATCATGGAGGTAATACGAATACATAATGGAAAATGTCCTTTTTGAAAAATTCATCTAAAAATTCTGAAAAAATTCAGGGTATACATAGATCCCGTCGTGTTTATTCCAAAAAAATTGCGTGTTTATGGTCACGGAGTAATATTTTTTTAGAAAGTATCTATTATTATCCATTGTTGCTTAAGAATTCTTTAATTTTGTTTTATAAAATTTAGGTTTATTTCTTGAAATTTGTTTTCAGTTGTGTATGAAGTTGTTATTTCCCTTTCAGATTTTTGGGAAAATCGCTGATCCGAACAAATCGTTAATCCGAACACACCTTTTTCCCAATTAATTAGGATTATCGAGGTTTTACTGTACACTTATACGTGTAACGAAAACAACCAAATGTCACACATGTTATGTGAAAAAGAGTATACTAGCTAAAATTTTATAATTTTTTTTTGTTTAGAACGAATTTCTGGGAGGTAGGTAAAATCGCACAAAAATTGCCCCCCCCTAAACGAAATCCTGTATCCGCGCCTGTTCTTAGAGGGTATGCGATTTTCCAGAATCAGTCATATCAGTGACTATGTATTTAAACATCCATACTTACTGGTCTTATCTTAGCAAATACTAGTCCCGCCCACCAACAAACTAAAAAAAAGATGAGACAACATATTATCTGAATCGTTGACCGTTGAAAGTAAATAATATTCACTTGAAATGAAATATAGATGTAGAAAATAAATTAAATGAATGAATCAGCAAAAAATAACACATCGACGTTATATGTATTCTAACACTGTCAGTTATATCGGAAATGAAAACAACTCTTCTTTTTAATAAGTAAGTGTTCTATCCATTGAACAACAATTTAACAAAATAATGACAGCTTAGATTTTATCAGTGATTATATATAGTCACTGATTTTATGTTCAGTTTTTAAAAGTCCAAGTGGATCCATTACAAGTAGGTATGCAACCAACTTAATATTAATTATCCTATGTTCAGAGAAAAACAACCTCACGGTATATGTACTTATGTAAAAATTCGGACCCATTTTCGAAACAGAACTAAAAACATTTTCTTGTAGATTTCGGGCCGCATAAGTAGCGTTGCCCAATATCTGTTTTACGTTTTCATGTTTTTTCACAACTTATAGAATACAAAAATGCAGCTTTTTGTATCCGTCCATCGTATACATTATACAGGATGAATTACTAAGCACGCGTTCCTCGATATATTTCATCAGTTATTAGAAATATAAAAAAAATTAAAAGTAAAAGTTGTACGGTTCTTTGTGAACCATTCACTAACATTATTTTTAACTGTACCTACAGATCCGTGTCACAATATTTTGTGGAACGATAAATACAGGTATATACGCTGATATTTCATTTTTTTCAAACAGAACACTAAATCTTACTCTGTTTTTTGTTTTTTTGTTTATACATACATATGGACAAAATATAATTTCAAGCAAATAGGTCGATAACTTTGGAGATAATCTGTTTAATAAAATAGTCAACGAAGCAGACAGATAAAAGACAACGCACAACTTGCATCTTCGTTGTCTATGAGCTGTGATGTTATTACAATGCTTTCCTTAGTTATTCCAGGAGAAGTAAAAATCATTTGCCTTGGCAGACTTTTTTAGGAACTAATTTTTTAAAATACGTTTAGTTTCATTAAAACGAAAATAAGCTCTAATTTAATTTAATTTTATACGTATTTTCAGCTATTTTTTTCCTTTTTTAAATTCGCCTGAGTATTAGAAACCTTCAACTAGTTACATTGATGACAGAATTTAACACAAAAATTTTGTAGAAAAATGGATTTTAAAATTATGTGTGGCAAATTATTGTAATACGGTTAATGTCAAAACTTTACATAATAGGATAATTTAACCACATTTCCTGTAACAGTTTTATAGCATGTCCGGTACTAATACAGCATTCGAAATCTTACATTTGAAACTTAAACTGGTAGTTTCGTTGAAAATTATGTTCAAAAACTTCATAATCAAATTACAATCATATGATCATAAAATTAAAAATCATAATCAACTTCTGAAAGTTTTGCTTGTGTATTACTGAAACAGTAAATAATGTAAAAACTATAGCCCTTTTTTGTTAGATTTTCAAATTTATTTTTCAATTTGAATTTTGAATTATAGTTACAATGCAATGAATAGAATAAAATAAACAATAACCTGAATTTGCAGTTTTAAGTTACTGTATTCTAAATTGTCATAATATAAATATATTATTAACTTACGTTGTACTTGCTTGGTCAGTTTAACAATATGCGAACAAGAACAAACTGACAAAAAGAGAAAGTTTATTCGTAAACTTTCGTAGCTTCGTAAGCAGTTTCAATTTTCAAATTTACCGCCCGGTCCAGGAAGTCACAGCACGTCAAACCTTCTTTATCGACCGAGCACCATGAACTTCCTTTTTATATGGCGGACGTTGCGTTCGCTTGATGTGTGGGATAGGTGAAGAGTAGTTTAAGTTTTTAAGAAAATGGTAAGTGTTAATTTAAATTTTCAGTAACGAGTTTTGAAAACATTCATTACTCTACTTTCTCGTACATTTGTACTTGTAAAAAGAACGTACTTTTGTTAATTTTTGTGTAAATATGCTGTGACCACGTGTGCACAATTTCACATTTACTAAGTTATCGTAGTATTTAATTATTCGAAGTACGTTTTTCGAATTTCAAATGAGAATAAAGCGCGTTATGATGATTTGCTTTTGGTCCGTGTTTCTGAATACTACTGATTATGCCTATCAAAAGCTCTGACTTTCACATCTCCATTACTCAAAATATTGACATAGGCTTGTTCATTTTACAACGAAAGTGTTTTCCAGTCGTTAGCTACCGCACGCCCCTTGGTGAGCGTGTACAATGAGAAATCCGAAGAGATTAAAGAATATCCCATTGCTTTGCCCGCCGTCTTCAAAGCCCCAATCAGGCCCGATGTAGTCAACTTCGTGCACCAACAACTCTCCATGAACCATCGTCAAGCCTACTGCGTCAGCGACAAAGCTGGTAATTTTTAACACGTTGCATGGTGGCCCAACAACCTAAAATTGGAAACAAAAATGTTTCGTGAAACTAAAATCTTGAGTCAAAAAGAATTTGTTCACAGACACTTTCCATTTGACAGCGTTTTTATTTCATTTGATGAGAAAATGACCCAAGGGAGGGTAAATTCAAACAATATTTCACATTTTCAATCAATTTGGGTCATTGTGCGTTTTGAATAGTAAAGATTCTCATCGAAAACTTTTACAGGTCACCAGACTTCAGCTGAGTCCTGGGGTACAGGCCGTGCTGTGGCACGTATCCCACGTGTTCGCGGCGGCGGTACTCACCGCTCTGGCCAGGGTGCTTTTGGCAACATGTGTCGTGGGGGGCGCATGTTTGCTCCAACTAAACCATGGCGCCGTTGGCACAGACGGGTGAATGTCAACCAACGTCGGTACGCGCTGGCTTCGGCTGTGGCTGCTAGTGGAATACCCGCTTTGGTCTTGAGCAAGGGGCATGTTATCGATCAGGTGCCTGAGCTGCCTTTGGTTGTCTCAGACAAGGTCCAGGAGTTGACCAAAACCAAGCAAGCCGTGCAGTTTTTGAGACGCGTTAAGGCCTGGTCTGATATTCAAAAGGTAGGACAGTCTGAGTAAATTAAGACTTTGAAGAGAATTTTTATTTCCTGGACTTACGCTAACGCTAACTAAAATTTGATGCCTTCATCGCAAAAAGTTTGCCTAGTAAATGCGATTTAAAATATATAAAATAACATTTCAATACCTGTGGATTATGAATCTGTTTTGAATTTTTACCCTGAATTCGCAAAATCAATACCATGATGCTATATACAAAAATAGATTGTGACTGAGAGTTTAAGCTGATGCAGCTTCTTTTTTTTTAATGACGTTAAAATTTTGTGATGATATTCTACGTCCCAGCGTGCTGAATGCATTGATTGAACTTAACATAACATTCCTGATGGCATTATTTCACCAATATGTTGCTCAATTATGGAACGCATGCTATAATTTCTTCTGTTTTTAATAGGTTTACAAGAGTCAGCGTTTCCGTGCTGGCAAAGGTAAAATGCGTAACCGAAGACGCATCCAACGCCGAGGTCCTCTGGTGGTTTACCACAAGGACCAAGGATTACGTCGTGCATTCCGTAACATCCCAGGAATTGATTTAATTAGCGTCGAAAAATTAAATCTCTTGAAATTGGCCCCTGGCGGTCACGTTGGACGTTTCGTTATCTGGACTGAGACTGCTTTCCAGAGACTAGATAGATTGTTTGGAAGTTGGAAAGTTCCATCAGCTGAAAAGAAGGGTTATAATTTACCTCAACCCAAGATGTCTAATACTGATCTGGCGCGTCTTCTCAAAGCTGATGAAATTAAGAAAGTTCTGCGTGTACCACAGTATGTTTTATTTTTATTATTTTTAATTAGTCGTTTAAAAAATTTAATGATGATAACCCTTTAGAGCACTGGGTTATGATAATCAATGATTACCTGTTGACACCTGAGTATTACATGTTTTATTTAAAGTATGAGTTTGTTAGAATTTTGTTTCTAATTTGTTTGTATTATTTTTACAGAAAGAAGGTTGTTCGTCGTGTACGTCGTTTGAATCCATTGAGCAACACTAGAGCTATGTTGCGGCTTAATCCATATGCTGCCGTATTGAAGCGTAAGGCGATTCTTCAAACAAGAAAGCGTCTTCAGAAGAAGCCAGTTGCAAGTGAGTTGAGTACTAAGTTTTTGATTTAGCTGACTACATGTTAGTACGTTTGATATGAAATCTCGGGGGACCACCAGTTCAGTTCAATAAAGGGTTAAAGATATGTAGAATTTTATAACAAAAAAAAATTGAACTTAATTTAATGGCGGAAAAAGTTATATTTGTTTTTTAGTTGAGCGCATTGTGAATTTCTAGCAAGATTTAGGTGGTTGCAGTGAAGCAATTCTATATCATGCTTATCACCACGTTTGGTTATATTTTTGGTTTATTTTTTTCCAGTTAAATGCTAAAAATATGTGGTAAAAATCTACATAGTGTTAAATAAAATTGTCCTCTGAAACATTTGTAGTAAAAAAAGTTGGTATTAATGATGACTTGCTTTTGGTCCGTGTTTATGATACAGTAGTGATTTTGTTTCAAAAGCTCTGATCATCTTAACTAAAAGCACATGTTTTTTCGTGCAATGAAAATTTACTAATGTCTATGTGTTTTTTTTTTAAGAGGTGGCAGCAGAGAAGGCCAAGGCTCCTGAAAAAAAGAAGACCCCAACAAAGAAGACGCCAACAAAGAAATAAAGGGATTAGTTTAAGTTCTTATGTAATTTTATATATGGACTAAATAATCCTTGTTTATTTGTAATTAAAAAATAAATAAGTTGTGAAAAGATTTGATTTTTTTGTTACACATGCGTCCTTCATAAACCACTATTTAAATTTAATCTGTCCACCACAAAGATTTTTTAAATTGGTGGCAATGACCATTTACGTCATCGTTAAAGTGTGAACAGTTGAATTCACGGCTTCCACAGACTCACTTTTTTTACAATTTTTTTTAAATCACTTGTCACTTTTTCTCTGGAAAATCTTTTTGGTTATCGATTTACAAATGTATTTATTTTTTCTCGTTTAACGAAGACGTATTTTAAATCCATTGATCCCCAATTAATAAAAAAAAATACGCTTTGGAATATTTTTGTAAACTGTGAGACATTAAATGGATATTATCTCAGGTAACGCTGTAGACGAGTACAGGTTATTAAAATATACCAACATTAGAAAAGATTGATAGAATTGACGATTATTGGCGACCATTTTTTGAAAAGGCGGAGAAGAATATCGAGAAATACAAAAATGTAAAAAGCATTTTTTTAGCAGCATGTTGCTTAAGTCATGAGAATGCTTCCGTGGAAAGGGAATTTAGCCGTTCGAAATTAATAAATATTAACTGAAGAAAAAACCAATATGTTGGTGATCACTTTAAATGCGAGGCTAACTATCGCAGATGCTTTAAAGTATTTCGACAATAGGCCAGAGACTATAACAAACGAACTCCTAACAGGTCAAACTGGAAGGCATTATCAAGATTATTTGGACGCGGAAAAACTGAAAAAAAAAAGGAGCGGATCCAGCAAAAAGAAAAAGCCGAAAAAAAATAGCTGCCGAATTACAAGCGCTTGCAAAAGAATCGAAAAAGACTGCAAGAAATAGATGAAACGATGGTTCAGGAAAAAGAAATTAAAACTCAAAAGGAAAAATGTACCGATAAGAGGGTAATATTAGACTAAGAGCTGCCTTGGCGGCAAATAACACCTTGGAAGCACGAATTGCGCAGGCCCTTATTGACGGAGCCTTGATTTTTAGAACATTTAAAAATTGTCATATTTCATATTGCCGATTTTGAAAAAACATTTTTTCGAAGAAATAAAGCTTTTAAAACTTCTTCAGGTCGAAATCAATACAAAGAGATTCTAAAAGTTCTGGAGGTTTAAATCAACAAAAAAATATTCTTTTAGTAATTTTCGACGGCGTTTAGAGAAAAGTCAAACATGTCAGACATACATGAGAAGTTATCAAAATTGAGGAATTAAAAATTGAAGGATTACAAAAATTGAAGGATTACAAACTGAATGATTAAAAATTCAAAGATTAATCATTGAAGAATTAAAAATTGAAAACTCGAAAAATTGTACTTAAATCAAAAAATTGCAAAATCTAAAAATGGAAAAATGACATAAATGAAAAAGTTCTAAAATCAAATGATTAAAAGATTAAAAACTCCAAAGTCGTAGAATCGAAAAAGTGAAAATTTTAAAAAATTATAGTCATTACTTCTATTAGATACATATTTGAAATGAAAACAAAAAAAAGTGCGAATGAAAAATTACAAATTGAAAACTCGAAATATTTAAAATTCAAAAATGTTTCCAAATTCAAAGAAATCAACAAAACACGTAATTATAGTTTATAAATCTCTATGAACCTGACTAAGATTTTCGAAATTAGACGGTTTGAAAATTTGGTTCTTAAAACATTTCAAAAATTGACACTATTGTCGATTTTGAAAAAAAGGTAAAATTTTCGAAGAAGTGAAGCCTTTTTAAAAGTTCTGGAGGCTTAAATCAACAAAAAAATATTCTTTTGGTAATTTTGACGGTGTTTGGAGAAAACACAAAAATTTCATGCTAACTTGAGGTTCTCGAATAATTAAGCTTTTAGAAAAGTTGCCAAAAATGCACAAAATAATTCTGAGTTATAAATCTCTAGAGTTGACTAAGATTTTCTAAAAATTCGGTTTCAAAATTTGTTTTTTAGAACAGGAAGAACGCGAAAGTGAAAAAAGACTCAATTTTAGAAAAAAGGAACAGTACAGTCGCTTTCAACTGTTTTAATAAAGAAATCAAACCGCCTCCTTGAAAGAAAAAAATAATGTTTTTTTTAAATCAAAAAACTTTTTGTTTTGATAATAAAATAATCAAAACTTCATATTTTTAATTTTTGTTCTATTTGTGAGAAGATTTACGTTTTGCTTGTTTTATATATGTAACAAAATTTTTATCTGAATTGTAACACTCACTTTTTTTACTATTTTCCCAGCGGAACTCACTTTTTTCACTTTTATTAACACAAAATCTGTGTGCAAGCTCTGGTTGTATTATTGGCTGTGAATTGTCACAGCGTTGGTATGCCATTTTTACAGCACCCTGTGTATATGTATCTACTATATATCTACTACTTCACAAAAAAAAAAAAACTGAAAAATAGCGGGCCAAAGTTGTTTTATGTGATATATTTGTGAAATATACAGGCTGATTACTTTAAAGGTTACAAGACACATTTGACTGCCTTACTAGTGAATGTTTTTTTTAATTATGTAAAACCTTTCAGTAAATGAGTTTTATTAACTATTAAAGCACTTCATAATTCAAAAAATAAAAAACGATGGCGTTTGTGGTCTATTATTTCGTTTTTCTTTGTTTACGTCTGTTCGACTTCGTCCACTGCCTCTTCATTTTCGTCGATTTTTTCAAAAGCGCTCTCAATTTCATTTAATAACTCTTCTGAAATGTAGAAATTATACTGCGGTTCGATGATTATAGGTTTTTTCATAGTTCTTGGACATCTCTTCGCTAATTTGTTATTATTAATTCGTCGAAGAATTTCGAATTCGTCCATAGACAAGAGTTTACACATTCGGACGTCCAATTTCGTCAGTGATGTATTGTACCTTAGACCTTGTAAAAGAATTTTCCCCATTTCCTGAAACCAATCACATTTGATTTTAATCTGAATATTCAGGAGCAAGAAGATTTAAAGTTCTTGTATGGCAAGTTGTTGTGTTTGTGGTTATGTCTATACCTAAGACTGAATACAATTAATGTTCAAATAAAAAAACTCAACATTGTTCAACAAAAACAAACACTTGTATATTCGTTTACATTTCTAAATGTTGATAGATCACTACACAAAGTATAAATTTATTCGCAACCAACTACAAAAAAAAAGGAAAAATGAACCACAATTATTTTTTTTTCATGAAGTATTTTTGCTTTTAACTAGTTGGATATAACTTCTTTTCTTATTATAATTTTTTATTTGTTTAGACATACCCACTGTATTTAGCAGACAGTTTCTAATCAAGAAACAAGAAAAACAAGCCAATATTACAAAAAACTCATTTTTGCATTATTTTAATGTAGGTATAACTTTCTGAATAAAATGGAGCGTACATATTTGTGTGCAAAATGGAGTTAATATAGTATAATTTTAGAAACTTTAGTAAATAACAAATCTGTTTTTGTAAATGCCCTTTAGTCCCTAAATGAATGTAGGAGTCTATCTCAGTTTTAAAAAAAAGTTCCAAACTTAATTTTCTTTTGCAAATATTGAACTAACCAGCTTGGTAGTTTCGGCAGAAGATCTGTTGAAGAAAACATGAAATCGGACTTCAACATATATAGAGATAAAAATTGTATAAAATTAGCAGAACTATTTAAATTCACGTTTTAATTTAAATTAAACATGATTGGCACACATTTTATATCCTTTATGTTTTATAGTAAAAATGAACGAGCAACAAACATTTTGTTTACAGTTGATTACATAGTTAATATGACATTAATGGTAGTATTTTATTTAGATTTAGATATATAAATTAGAACAGTGGAGCTGGGGTTCGCTTATCATGCTTTGAATTATTGACAAATTCTTAAAAATTAACAAGTTGTGACGCTTAATACTTACGTAAAACAAAGAAAAAGTAAAGAGATCTGCGGTATAAAAATATCATGAAGAAATTTATTGCATCTCCCAGCTGTTATAATAAATATCATTACGGTCACTCTTAATTACAGTGCCTCTCCTAATAATTGATTTACATAAACAGTTACAATATGAATTCCATTTGGAAAGTCCTATCCTGCTCAAGGAATTTCTTATATCCGCTTATGCATTCTTTATTTACTTAGGAAAAAACCTACCTCTCCTAGCGAATTATTACTAAGATTTAGCTGCTCTAGACTAGAATTATGTTCAATCATTTCACCCAAGGAAGGAAGATGCCTAATTCCACAGCCACTTAAATATAAATTTTTAATATTCCTTACTCCAATCGTTAACGGTTTCATTAAATGATTGGCACCTTCGTTTCCAATTGGATTTAGTTTGAGGTCCAGAGTCGACAGACGACAAGCACTTTGGCAAATAACGTAAGATAAAGCTTCCATTCCCTTCGTCCCTGTATAAACAATTGGTATTTTATAAATTTGAATAATGTGGACAAGTACATGCATACCTATCTGATTATTTGCTAAAACTAAAGTATTTACTGAGTTAAGTAAACAAAATTTACTTAAAGCTACACCACCTTCGTCAGAAATTTTGCAGTGAGAAAAGTCGAGAGTGTGAAGTTCGTCATGCTTCAGTAATGATTTTAATATCCTGATCATTTTTTCGTCGTCTATATCGGAGTTTCTTAGTCTACAATTAAATAATAAGGGTGTAGGTAAATGACACGTTTTTTGCATTTTCTTCGTACCTAAATATTTTAAGATGAATTTTTTCCAAACCCTTCGCAAGCAGTTTTATATCTTGCAGTGTTATTTTCAAAATGTTCCACGAAAATTTTTCTCCTACATATGTCTGTTGGAAAAAAGTTAATTTATATTGATGGAATATCGTATTTATTATTACAAATAAATTAATAAATAACAAAATAATAACATAGTTTGTTTTTGAAATAAATAGTGTGTCGGTTTGGTTACGACTTTTTAAAGAATTCCAAAGTGTACGATGAACAGGCTACTATGAATTATTTAATTGTTGGCTGATTTATTTTTCTGTGAGAGCTAATTATGATCTTAAATTACTTCATCCTTGATTTTTTGCATTTTTTTAAATATTTATGCTTTGTTTACTTATTGAGTGTACTACGCATACATCAGACTAATTTACCTTTCAATCTACGTAGAAAAATTCAGATACGTTACATTAACACAATGAAATAATTATTGAATAATGAAGCACCACATTAAATATCCTCCAGGTTTTTTGTTGCTTAACAACAAAAACTTAATGAACACCTTGAATCCAAATGAGCCAATTTTGTTAAACTTTTTACCTGTTTAAAGCAAATAGACAGTTCGGTCAAATTTTCAAGTCCCGTTACAATTGCGTTCAAAGGAATACGACTAGGGGAATTTTCTGAGGACTGTAATTCCCGCAGTTCCAAAATTTTTACATATATTCCGCACAAGTCAGACAGCTCTTTTATCTAAAATTTATGGTTAATTAAAAGCAACCACAGCTAAGTAATTTTATACTTTTTCAGCGTCGTAATCTTCAGGTTTTAGCTTCTCCAGGTATTCGCGGAGATGCATTTCGAGAAAACATTCTTTCCACGTTCTTTTATTGGATTTTTGTTGTTCTTGACTAGACTTTCGCGATCTTTGGCTGCTAGCGCTATTGGTGGTGCTACTTTTTCTACTACCATTATTAACTTTAACTATTTCACTTATTTGGATATCCAGAGACACGTTTTCGGGTATCAGTTTAGGCCATCTTTGTAGATAACATCGTTTCCAGTAAATATCGTCGTTTATTTTTGGAATAGTTAACCCGAGGGGTAATTCCGTTGGTAAAATATCTAGTAAAAGGCATTGATCGATGGTCAACGGAATTTCATCAAGAAGTGGTTTTGCTGGAAAAATATAACTATAAAACATATAATTTAGTACCATTCAAGACATTATTACCTTCCCAGTTTTTAGCTATTGTTTCTAAACATATTTCCTGCAAATTTTTCGGAATTTCCTTATCCCACTCTTCGAGATTATTACTTTGCAGTGTGTTAATTATTTTTTTATTAGTGTCATAATCGTTGTACGTTTTTAGTGTATTTTTATTTATCGTAATCGGAATACGCATTTTGCCGACGGTGACTTCTTACCTATGCATCGACCAAACAAACTTTCGCTGCTATTGTCGATTTATTTACTTTATTACTTGTCAGAGAAACAAGACAAACACAATTTTTTTACGATAATTTTTCTCTATGACACCCACCATTTCTGCTTAATTAGTGCTATGATGCAAATGAAGTAAAATAACCAAATTTAAATAATCAACTACATCCGTGACTGAAATTTATTCAGTTATAAGAAATTCTAAATTGGTTTATTTTTCTAAATAAAGATAACTGATGCAAACCAATTCATTAATAACGTCTGTTTAGTCATGTTGCTCCTAATGTGATACACATTCTCAGACTTACTATAGGATATACCAGCCTTCACCTTAAATTTATTCTTATTGTTTGGTAAATTATTAATTTGTTGACCTAACACGGACTTTCCTGATGACTAATGTGATAAATAAAATCAGAATACTCGCTGCTATTATCTGTACTTGCAAGACCCGTTTCCAAATAGAGAAAAGTCTATTAAAAGGTCATTGCTAATGTAAAATCACGCTTACATGCAAGCAAAGCGCAATGGTGCAGGAGATCAATAAATATGCGCTTTGATAGTCAAGGAGTGGGCTTTAATAATTTGCAGAATTTTCAAAAACGGAGCTGAATTTAAAACAAAAAAAGTGTTACTAATTTTGCTTTGGCAACCTTAATGAGACTCATTTCGCTCACATTTTTTTTTTAATTACATGAATTACACATAAATAATTTAGTCCCAAGATTGGTTTTTCTCTGTAGGTACATCAATGTAGAATATATTAAATGTTGGACATTTTTATGTTTTACAGAAAAATACTTACTACATTAATTAAAGCGTCTGCTGCGTTCGATCGTAAACAAAAGAGATAGAAATGGAATGTTTATGTACTATCTTTATAAAATAATAAGCTAGTCCAGGCTCGGGTAAGGTAGGATAAAATTGTTCAGTAATTTTGAAAAAATGTTTTATTTCGGTTATTTTACCTGATGTAAATATATTATTTAAAAATTTTGTTTTTTTTCATGATTATAAACTTTAAAAATATTAAAGTGGCTAAAACAGTTGCTATTAAGTCTGGCCTTTACTATTGATCTTATGACCCTATCTTCACTAATAAATCTGGAATATCCAATTTTTCTCCTTGTTTGAAACAGCTTTAAAAATATGTCAGAAGCACGTGATGATGTCAGACATCTAAAAATACAGCGAATGTGGTGAGTTACTGTGAGATCAGGCTTTTAGAAAAATTAACAATTTCTAGGTCTACACATGGAATCCAGAGCTTCAGGTAAAAGATTACCGAAATAATAAACGACTTTTGCATGATGATTATAGCAATTATGTTCTCATCTGTCGGAAACACAAACAAAAACTTAAAAGTCATTCCAAGTAGCACAATACGTAAGAAGATGAAAAACCTCTCAGTTATATATTAAGTATAATTACTACATAATATACACATTATCAACAAATCTATTGTATGTTTGTTTATGTTTATATTCACGAATACTTCTAAACATTGTATTACGGTTTGTTTACAGTGAGAAAACAATAAAGTAGTTTCAGTTTTACAGCATGTACTTGCCAAATTTAGGTTACTACTTAGTGATTGTTTTCTTTTCTGTTGTAGTGTTGCAGTAAATGAGTTACAATAAGAATGCTATTTTTGTATACTAATAAAATTTTACAACCCAAGCAGCGTAAGATCATAACCGTAAAACTATAAATTACAGAACTGCGTACAGTAACGGAACTGTTTTTTATTGGTAGGTTAGTAGGTGGTTGAATTTCAATATAGTGAACTTACTACTTTGTTTAACAATGTGAATCGTAGATGAGCTGCAAATAGAGAAAGATCCCGACTGGGAAGTTTGTTCAATACTGGTCCAGTATGACACTAGTAATGCCATAGAATTATATTAGTACAAAAAAATAGTACTTTTAAACTTAATTTTTACTAAAAATAAATTGTATGTAGTTTTCTGTGTTGTCTTATTAGTCTTAATAATATTTTTCCTTAAGTGCTTACGTTAGAAGTTCTAAACAATATATGTAACAATCTGTACTGAAGGTGACACATTACAATTTTATAAAGATATTTTTTATATATATATATTTTTGATAATGATATGAACTAAAATAACCTCACCGATTACCGAGAAGTGTATCCGGTTACAAATACAGCTGTTTTCTGAATCAGATGTTCTTTGAAATACTTAAATTAATATATGTTATTTATTTCAGGGCCATGTAAAGTTGTGAACTTTGCTGTTATATGTATTTGTGAAAGTTAAAAATGCATTCTTTTCAGCGCCTTAATGTTTATCGCTTTAGTCAACTGCTTTCCACGTAATTTTGTTCTTTGTAGAACCTTGAAGACTTATTTAAAAATGATAAACCTAAATTTTAGCACCGATTTTACCGTGTGTATACTAAAGAAGTCGGATGAAAAAAAAAAGTTGGTGTTTTGTATTTTTTTTTTTTTTTTGAAAAATTTTGCACCAAATTTGTTTCATCTTCTATGAACCCAATGCCTAAGTAGTTTTATGCAACCGAAATCGTGGTAAGAAAATTTATATGTGTAATTACTAGTACTATCTGTATATTAAAATAGAGATCAAAATACAAATTTCGAATCCTAAATAACGGATTAACTTAGGTAACAAATAGTAAAATAATATATAAAGGAATTAAATATTTTTTTAATACTTAATTTCTTGATTTAGATTCATGTTCGCCTTTAATCAAAAATTTTTATGAGAATACATTTGAAAGTATAATTTTTTAGGATAACAAATTGGATCACTAATCAACGAGTAACAAGATAGTCAGAATGCGTATTGTGACCGAGATTTGCTTTATAAAATTTTGACGTCATCATTTTTTTGAAGAGCAGAATTTTGGAATGTATGTTCTATAGACAGACTGATGTGGGATTTACTCGGCTATATAGGTTAACACTTTGCTTGAAAGTGTATAATGGGCTTGTTTTCTATGTCTTTGATTTATCTTATTATCGTGATTGAATTCATTTATCACTGATAGAAATATCGATGTTTACACACACAAGAAGAATGTGTTTTTTTTTAAACGAGATATATCTGGCCAGAAAACACCTTTACTAAAAATAATTTTTACAAGAAAAATTTTTGATCGCTTGCCACATATTAATATAGACATTATCAGGATTTAATAATTGTAAACTAGAAATAAATAATAGTAGAAGCCAATTCATACTTGACAGTTCAATCATCACAGAATTTGAGTTATTTTAAATCTATGATACAGAAAGCTTGTAAAAGAAATTTTTAAAGAACTATAAAAAGAGACTAGGTGAGAGCGTGAGACAAAGGGCACGGTCACAGTTTTGGTGTTAAGTCTGAATACATAAAAATAATAACTTATATAAAAGATTATTTACAAAAATATTGAACTGACAATAAAAATAATGAACTTGATCAGTTTATTAAAAATGAAGAAAAAACTTGGTCTAAAGTTATTTAGACATAACTTCCCTCGTCCCTGAATTACAGGCGAACAGATTCAGACTCTTTGAAAGAAGAACACTTATGAATTTGGATAAGTGTAGTTTAATACTAAACAGTATTGCATATTTAAATTTTCGGGAAAATGGGGTGAGAAATCCTTGATTTGACCAAAAGGTTGCTTCATTTATTAATTTTTTTGAGTCACCCTGTATAAATAATTAAAAAAACATATATTTTAAACCACAAGTTGATTTATAATATTTTGGATTTCAATTCAATTGCAAAATGTTATGCAATTTTAATTTTTTTTTTCAAAAATCTGGATGTCTGGGGCAAAAACTCGACACAAATTCATAAACCACAAGTACAGAAGTATCTTCTTTGATAAAATTTAATAACATTTACATTGTAAATTTTTTCATTTTAGGTTTACCCATCTGCACGATATTTCTAACATACAAGTAAAATTTGACAATAATCGGATCAGTAGTTTCGGAGATTATCTATCTAATAAAAGTCGACAGAGACATTTAGACGACATACGACAGACGACAAAAGACTATAGAGTATAGACTGATGAAAACTCGAAATCACTTTTTGGATTTTTTGATTTTCCAATTTTTCAACATTTCAATTTTGGGATTTATGTATTTAAATTTTTCGATTTTTCAATTTTTGGCATTTCTAAATTTTTGAATTTTCCGAGTTCTCACTTCCTCGATTAATGCGATTCATTTTTAATTTTTCGAGTTTTCGATTTTTTGTCTTTCCGATTTCTCGATTTCTCAATTTTTCGGTTTTCAGATTTCCAATGTTTAAGTTTTGGGATTTTTCAATATGTATTTCGATTTTAAAATTTTTCGATTTTTCCACTTTTAGTGTTTTTGATTTTTTATTTATTCGATTTTTCAAAATATGTGTTGTGACGTTTTAAATCTTACATTTTTCGATTTTTCATTTTTTTGATTTTTCAATTTGTTGATGTTTTGATTCCTCCATTTTCTAGGTTTTCAATTTTTCGAATTTTTAAATTTTAGATTTTTCACTTTTTTGTTGTTTCGATCTTTCAACAAAAGGGCCTTCTCGTTTTTAGATTTTTCGATTTTTCAATTTTTCGGAATTAATTTTTTAGTTTTTCGATATTTCGATTTTTCAGTTTTCGATTTAATGGCTTTCTTTCGATTTTTCGCCTTCTCGTTTTTAGGTTTGTCAATTTTTCGAAATTATTAGTTTTTCAGGTTTTCGACGTTTCGATTTTTCACTTTTTTGTTTATCCGTTTTTTTATGTTAAAATTTTTCAATTTAAAATTTTCCCATTTTTCGATTTTTAGCCACTTTCATTTCTCAATTTTCCGATTTGTCAACTTCTTGTACTTTTGATATCTTGATTTCGCGATTTTTCAATTTTTCGATTTTCTAGTTTTTCAAAGTTTCAGTTTTGGGATTTATGTATTTAAATTTTTAAATTTTTCAATTTTTCAATTTTTGGGGTTTCTAAATTTTTGCATTTCCGAGTTCTCAATTTCTCGATTAATGGATTTTTTAATTTTTCGACTTTTCGTCTTTCCGATTTCTCGATTTCTCAATTTATTAGTTTTCAAATTTTCAATGTTTAAGTTTTGGTATTTTTCAATATACATTATGTCCCCGGATTGAGTTCACAACAGGAAAAAAACTGTATTTTATATTTTACAATAAAATGGCATAGGAATAAAATTTTTTGCTTAATTCAAAACGAATAAATCTGCAACTAAAATTTTAATATTATCAGGCTGTGTCCTTAAAATCGAAAAAAACTATTAATAACGAAAAACTTAGAAATATGAAAAAATTATTTTTATTTTTTTTTTCCTCTTGTGAACTCAATCCGGGGACATACTGGATATTTTGATTGTCAAATTTTTAGATTTTTCGACTTTCTGTTTTTTTTTATTTTTTACTTAATCGATTTTTCAAAAAATTACGCTTTTTTAAATGTTACATTTTTTGATTCTTTAATTCGTTCATGTTTTGATTTCTCAATTTTGTAAATTTTCAATTTTTCGAATTTTTAAATTTTAAATTTTTCACTTTTTTGTTGTTTCGATTTCCTAGTCTTTCGATTTTTTGCCTTCTCATTTTTAGATTTTTCGATTTTTCAATTTTTCGAAATTAATTTTTCAGTTTTTACATATTTCGATTTTTCAATTTTTCGATTTATCAGGTTTTTCAAGTTTCAATTTTTCAATTTTGAATTTTCCCATTTTTTGATCTCTAGCTATTTCGGTACTTAAATTTTTCAATATTTCAATTTTTCGACTTCTCGACTTATCAATCTTTGGATGTTTCGATTTCGGGTTTTTTCATTTTTTCGATTTCGATTTCTGGGTTTTTTAGTTTTTCGATTATTCTAGTTTCCAATTTTTCGATGTTTCAGTTTTGGAATTTTTCAATTAATTAATCAATAATAAAATAAAAATAAAATAATTTGGATTTTTTGGATTTTTAAAATTCTTTTTTTTTCTTCTTCAAAAACGAAGCATCACATATTTAAAAAAAAAGACGCTAGGAACCCCGAAGATTCTGTAACATTCTCTCGAAATAAAGAACTCCACGGATTCTCGAGATTTTTTAAAAATATTTTAAAAACAAAACACAAGAGGCCCCGAAGATTTTTTATATTAACAAAAACACTAGGCGCCTGCAAAACTTTCTATTTTAAATACAAAAAATTGATCTAAAGTTATTCAGACAGATCTTCCCTCGCCTCTGAAGTAAAAATATATTTAACTTCAATTTATACATCGCAAGAATGCGACAATTAAGCACGCAGCAAATTGTCTCCCCAAGACACAGGAAGCGATTGAAATTATTAATTAAGCTACAATGCAGCAAAACGTTCTTAATATTATTTTGGGTAAGTCGATGTTATTACGAGAATTTTTATTTTATCATTATTAACTATAGGAGGCGTCCTCCACTGTTAAATCGAAAATTGAAAAATCGAAAAATTTAAACAATCGAAAAATTGAAAATTTAAAAAATCGAGCAATCAAGGCCCGCCCAACTGTGTTTTGGCATTTTTGCGATAAATAATTTCAATGGAGGGATATTTTAACTACTCGTTTTACATGTTTCCATTAAAGTATCAAAATTAATATGGATGATAATTACTTGGTGTGATTAAGCATTTAACAATGGAAACTTGTCCTGATTTTAAATTAAAATTTTCACATAATTAATTTTTTTTTTTGAAATGTTATGGGTATATGTGATTAGTAAAGACCGGATTACATCTTAAATGCATATTGCATACATATTTCGCATATTTTATAACTTTTTAAATTGTTTCATATTTTAATGAAACTGTGCATACCGTCCATATTTTGGTAATTTCCGCTCTTCAGTCAAGTGTTACAAAATTACCATAATTTAAAAATCTGGTAAATAAAACGGTAATTCCACATGTCATAGGTGTGACAAAATGACGAATACTAATTAATTTTTTTTCACATTAAAGAAACATTAATTTGTGTTGTCTAACCATATAAGAATGCAAATTTAAAAAAAAATCGCCTTTCCAATAACGACTGTCACCAAACTTTTTGCGTACCCTGTATAAGAAAAATTTTGTTTTAAAAAGGATTAATTTTACTGATAACTCTAAATAGAAAAATAGATGTGTCATTAAAACAAAAGAGTTTATTACTATTTACATATATTATTTAAATATACTGCATAATTAAGATATCCAATATTGTATTCACAAATGAATTATTCGACATATAAATCCTTCCGTTCCTGTCATATTAAATTTTTATTGTTTCATGCTGTTACTAGGACATTAAATTAAAATCTTCGAGATCACGTTTTGATACACGATTTACCATTTCATTAACAAAAACATCATTAAACCACATCGTTAACCTTTGCGACACCATAACATTATAGGTTTCCCACAAAAATGTACTTTTTGGATATAACATAATGCTTGTTTTTACAAAATTATTACCTAAGTGGGAAATTTGTACATTAAATAAAATATCCTTCATCCGGGAAAGCTTTTGGTGTCCAATCTATACAGATATCGATCAGTAATTAATAATCCTATTATCAGATGAAAAATTCCACAGCTTGTGTCACTAGTCATTACGTAATATGATGTGCAATATTGTAAACAACTTGTTTTTTTTGCGGCAAGCCATCCAATTAATCATAGGAATGCCATTTTAGCAAAAAATGACTTAATACTATTTTTAGATTAAGATTTAATGTATGGGTAGGAACGGTGGACATTGATTGCCAGGATAATAACGCGGTTGGGTGCATTAGTCATTTTCGTGTGGGTATCTAATCATTGCAAATTTATGTAAAATTATTGATCAAATAGGAGAATTATTTAGCGCATACTGATATAACGTTACGTATAAGTAAATCTGACCAAGTTTGGTTGTTTTGGATTGTGCACCAAATAAATATTTAAATAAATAAATAAACCGGTGTGAAATATTTCTAAATATAACTAATACACGATAAGGATAAATTAGGTACTTTGCATACAGGAACAAAAAACTAGACATTCTTAAAGAAAAATATTTACCTCCTAGTGAAAATTTTGTGTTTACAATTAAACAGATCTAGACATTGATGCATAAAATAATAGTAACATCGTGACTTGTTGATATGATTGATCTAATTAAGTTCCTTCAACCGTGTCAGTTAAGAGGTGTAATACCTGTTGACACGACTTTATAAAAAAAGGGATGTGGAGTTTCCATCACACGCAGCCGTTATTTTTAAAAGTCAATTAGTATAATGACAGCACGATTTCGTGTCTACTTAATATGGTAATTACAAACATTACAACTTCTATACCATACCATAACACCAGCACTAGGAAAATTAATGGGTAGTGCAAAATCATAAATATTTTTGAATAATGGGTGTCGACTAGAATAACTCACTGAATGATGTACATCCTATTGTTGTGGAGTTGAAGTAACTTCTGTATGAAAACACGTAATAAATTCGTGCGATACCGATCAATCGATTACAATTCAGGAGTCTCGTTGTGGCACTACCCAGAAAGTAAATTATTTCAGTAGCTACTAGTCGAATCACATCTTAACTTATTGCCCAATTGAAATTTTTAAGAGTGGAAGGTTAAGGTGTGGGTTTCTTGGTATTGTCCTCTACACAGTAAGCTTCACCTTGTCCTAATGACGGTCGTGTTTCAGAGAATCTGTAGTAATTTTAGCCATGATCGAATAATAACACGTACCGGTACTTACTCTTATTTCATCCTTTTAAAAGTCCTGTAATAATAATCCGAAAGGTTGTCAAACTTCATTTGAATTAATGAAATTTCTCGATTAATGGATAACGTCAATGTGTGGACGCTGATGGAAATCACAAATTATTCTGAACTTTGCGGTACTGAGAAAAACCGACTGCTAAAATGTAATCGCACAGAACTATTTGATGATACGCGGAGATGATTTGCTGGAACGATTTTTTTTGTCATCACGGATTATGCTCGTAAAGTTTTTACCTACACAAACTCGTTATAATATAAATAAGCGCCGGACGCCTTCAGGATCGTAGTCTTCTCGAACCTGTAGATCTGTTTTGTTGCCGACTACACCGCTGTTGACCATGAAGCATAAATTTCATACGTTATTGTTCTTTGCGCTAGTGTCAATTAAATTGTGTAAGTGAAATGTGAAAATTTGAGTTAATTATTACGTTCAATTTGAATATTCTTCCAGCGCACCAACATGGAGCTAAAGGGGGTAGTTTCAGTGGAAGTTTCAGTAAGTACCAAATTTTTCAAAAATTATCACTTCTTTGAAAACACCAAAAATTGTATTCATTGTTACTCGATTATTAGGGAAATTTTAGTGCATTCTTTCAGGATACAATTACCTCATATGATTCATTGCCGTTTCCAAATCTGGCAATGAAACCTTTCTTAATTACCATAAATCCGCTTTAGACTATTTCTTTTTTTTTTGTATCGCCCGTATTTAATCCAATTTCTATTCAACAGGTTCATCATCGTCCTCCTCCCAATCATCATGTGAGTATTCATCCCTTTTTTGAAAACAGTTGTGCATATTTTGTCTTTTTAGCTCACAGTAGTTCAAGTTCTGGGTCGTTCACGGCTACTGGTAATTTGAACGAAGTCGGTACTGGATTCAAGGACCTTCTTGGAAATTTGGCCCATTCTGGAGCGAATGCGGGCTCTTTTTCCGGTTCTTTGGGTAACACTGGGGGTGGAGCAGGTCTTGGAGGTGTAGCCGGTCTTGGAGGTGGTTCTAAAAGTGGCAGTTTTGCAAATTCTGGAAGTTTCTCTTCGAGCGGAGCCGGACTTGTTGGAGGTGTAGGTGCGGTTAAAGGTGGCGGTGTGGGAGGCAATGCTGGTATAAGTGGAAGCGGTGCCTTTGGGGGATCTGGAGGAAGTGCCACGTCTGGTAAATTGTAACATAAAAATTATTCCGGTTTTATTGTTTAATTTTTCTTTTAGGAGTTGGGGGAATCTCTTGTGGCTTTGGAAATAAAAATTGTGGGGGTGGTTCCACCATTAAAACTGATGGTGTGAGTGGAAGTGGAAGCGGAAGTTATGGAGGCAGTACATCCAGTGCTGGAGCAGGTTCCGTTAGTGGAACTGGTAAACAGATTAATCACACCAGTGGCAATATCTTAAGCGTTATTTTTAGGATCTGGAAATGACGCTTTTTCTGTAGGAGGTACCGGTTCGACGGGAACCAGTGGTTCAGGTCTTGGTGTTGGTGGAGGTATTGGCATTACAGGATCAGTTGGTAATTACTATAATGGTAGAGAAAATGATCATCCAAATAACTTTTTTATTTATATTTAGGTCCAAATGGTCCGGACTCTGGCAGCAATAACCCAGCTATATCTTCTTCGGGATCACAGAGTGGAAGCACAATTAAAGAAATACCAGTTCAAGAAAATGAAGATGGCACAACTGGAACTTCATCTGGAAATACCATTAGTGGATCTTCTGGAAGTGGTAGCAGCGGAGGAACTGGAAATATTCAACTACTACCCTTATTTCCATCAGTAGGAAGCCAAACAATACCATCGCAAACTCTGAAACCTACAGGAAGCGGCACTGGAAGTTTTGGAGGAACCTTTCCCGGAGGTTCAACTGGAACGGGATCTTCGAGTAGCTACCCCGGAGGAATAACGACTGGAGGAGTTGGACAACCCACTAAGGGTGGAAAAAGACCCGGTTCCGTTTATCCTTCAGGCTTTCCAAGTCATGTGAAACCATCAGATTCTGGACACTACACTCCTTCTGGCAGTTTTGGCCACGTCAAACCTTCGTCACCTGGCGGTTTTGGTACCACTGGTACGGTATTTCAAACTGGATCAACACATGGCACCGCGGGATCGGGCAACTTCGGATCTCATGGAATAAGTGGAAATGGTCACCCAAAAAAACCCTGCTGTAACGGCCCATTCCCCGGTCCTTCTGGTACTATCCACGACAGCAAACCTGCATCTTCAGTACCCCCAGTTCCTAGTCCCGGAGGTTCTTTCCCAACAACAGGAGTGTTTACTCAGGGTACTGGTTCTGCTTCTGGTCCAGTTTCTGGCGCTTCTGGTTCGTACCCTGGCTCTCCTGGACCATTCCCTGGCCCTTCTGGAAGCATTCATGAGAGTAAACCTGCGTTCCCAGTTCCTAGTGGTGGAGGTTCTGTACCAACATCAGGAGTGTTTACCCAGGGTACTGGTTCTGCTTCTCGTCCAGTCTCAGGCCCTTCTGGGTCATACCCTGGCTCACCTGGACCATTCCCTGGCTCTTCTGGAAGCATTCATGAAAGTAAACCTGCATTCCCAGTTCCTAGTGGTGGAGGTTCTGTACCAACATCAGGAGTGTTTACCCAGGGTACTGGTTCTGCTTCTGGTCCAGTCTCAGGCCCTTCTGGTTCATACCCTGGCTCTCCTGGACCATTCCCTGGACCTTCGGGAAGCATTCACGAAAGTAAACCTGCATTCCCAGTTCCTAGTGGTGGAGGTTCTGTACCAACATCAGGAATTAATACTGGCGTTTCTACTCAAGGTTCTACATCTAGTTCGAAGGGCCCTTGTTGCAAAGGACCATTCCCTGGACCAAATGGAAGCATTCATGATTATAAACCAGCATCTTCTGTTCCGTTAGTTCCTGGAGTTACTGGAACTGGATCGCATGTAACCGGAACTGGAGTTTATGGCACTCATGGAACTGGTGCAACAGGAAGTGGTGTAACAGGAACTGGAGTTTATGGAACTCATGGAACTGGTGCAACAGGAACTGGAGTTTATGGTACTCACGGAAATGCCCTCTTGAAACCATCATGTTGTAAACCTATTCCACCAGGTCCAATTGGCAGTATTCACCAAAGTAAACCCGCATCATCAGTTTTACCAGTTGGATCGACTGGAAATAAATATACCGGTCCATTCCCAGGCCCCACCGGTAGTATCTCTGCTGGCGTCCCAGTGACTGGAGGTATAACATCTTCTAACATTGGATCACAATCAACAACACAATCTGGAACGCAACACACTGGATCATATACGGGAAATTCTGGATGGAATAAACAAGTTACATCAGGTAATAACTATGGAACTCATTATTATCTTGTGCCAAAGCCAGCTATAACTTTACATCCACCAGTTGCAAGTGGACCATATCAGACAAAAGTCATTTTTAGTGGTTACAAACCTTTAAATCCCGATTTTATATCCGTAGGAGGAACAACTGGACAGATCAGCAGCGATAAACTAGGAGGACAAACAGGAACAAATTCTGGATATGCAACTGGTGGAGTGACCGTACAAAAATCTGATGCCAATCAAGTACGGACAGATGGTTCTGGAATCAGCGGAACCTATGTACCTACTGGTACATTTAGTCCTGGATTGATTAGTGGCAGCACATTTGGGGAAAAATCTGACACTAATCAAGTAATAAACAATGACAAATCTTCATCTGGAACAGGTCCAGGATTTGCAACTGGTAACGTAATTGTAGAAAAACCAGGCAGTATTCAAAGTACCGGAAAGGTTACACCTGTCGGTTCATTTGGAACATCTTTTGGTGGATCTTTTACAACTGGAAGTGGTATTGGTAACACCGGTAGTACCCCAAGTATACTTTTCCATCCTGAATTACGACCGGGTAGTACCTCTGGAACCTTTGGAACTTCAGGTTCTGGAAGCGGAAGTAGTTCTAACAATGGCTTTGCTACAGGAAATGTTCAAATTCAAAAACCAGGAGGTGTTAAAGACGTAACAACCGGAATTTCTACAATCGGCTCTGGTACTCCTGGAAGCGGAACCTTTGGAACTTCAGGTACTGGAAGCGGAAGCTTTGGAACTTCAGGTTCCGGAAGCGGAACTTTTGGAACTTCAGGCTCTGGAAGCGGAAGTAGTTCCGACAATGGCTTTGCTACAGGAAATGTTCAAGTTCAAAAACCAGGCGGTGTAATTACTAGTGGAAAAGACGTGCCCGCTGGAATTTCTACAATCGGCTCTGGTACTTCTGGAAGCGGAACTTTTGGAACTTCAGGTTCTGGAAGCGGAACGTTTGGAACTTCTGGTTCCGGAAGCGGAACTTTTGGAACTTCAGGCTCTGGAATCGGAAGTAGTTCCGATAATGGTTTCGCTACAGGAAATATTCAAATTCAAAAACCAGGCGGTGTAATTACTAGTGGAAAAGACATACCAACTGGAACTTCTACAATCGGCTCCGGTACTTCTGGAAGCGGAACCTTTGGAACTTCAGGCTCTGGAAGCGGAAGCTTTGGAACTTCAGGTTCCGGAAGCGGAACTTTTGGAACTTCAGGCTCTGGAACTGGAGGTAGTTACGACAATGGCTTTGCTACAGGAAATGTTCAAATTAAAAAACCAGGTGGAGTAGTTACTAGTGGAAAAGACACAACCGGTTCTGGTAATTTTGGAAGTGGTTCAAGTGGATCTTTTGGTAGTGGAACTGGTAATGGCAATGGCTTCTCTACAGGAAATGTTGCCATTCAAAGGCCTGACGGATCAGTTAGCAGTGGAAAAGATTCAGCAACTAGTGGCTCATTTGGAGGGTCCTACGGCGGATCGCCTGACAGCGGTTCACTGAAAACTACGCCAGGATTATCAACTTCCGGAACATTTGGAACTTCGGGTTCTGGATCTAATTACAACAATGGTTTTGCAACCGGAAATGTTGCTATTCAAAAACCCGACGGATCGGTAACAAGTGGAAAAGATTTGCCTTCTAGCGGCCCATCTGGCGGTATTGTGGGATCAGGATCCTTTGGCACTTCTGGAAGTGGTTCTTTAGCAACTACAGGTGGTCAGTCAGGTGGTTTACAAGGTAGCGGTACTTTTGGACCTTCCGGTAGTAACACTGGGTATGCCACAGGAAACGTCCTTGTTCAAAAACCTGACGGATCCGTAACCACCGGAAAAGATTTACCCTCAGGGGCGTCCACGGGAATAAATGGAGTAGGTGGAAGCGGTAGCCACGCATTTGGTGCTTCGGGTAGCGGCAGCTTTGGAGGAAGCGGTTTGTTTGGAATTGGAAACGGTTTTGAATTCGGGCATGGTCATGGAACTAATGCCATTAAAGGTTCAAGTGGGGGGGCGTCGTCTGGTAGTTACGCTGGATCTCAAAGCAGCGCTGGGTCTTATAGTGGTGGCGGCGGCTTTTCTTCCTTTGGTGGAAGTAAAAGTGGAAGTTATGCCGGAGCGCAGAGTGGTGCCGAAGCTGGTTATACCGGACTTTTAAAGAATTTGTTTGGTAAACATGGTCTAGGAGGAAATTTAGGTTTAGGAGCGGCAGGATCTGGATCTTTTGCCAAATCTCAGTCATTTGCTGGTGGTAGTTCGAGTGAGTTTTAACATTGTAGTAGTATGCGGAAATATTTATTTTTAATTTCGTTGCAGGTTATGCAGGAGCCAGCGCAAGTTCATTTTCGGGACACTATTAGCGAATTAAATTAATTTGATAGCAATAATTTCGTATCTGTGAATATTTCCATACTTATGTACTCATAATGTATCGTATGTGATTTTTTATAATTAAACGTTTATTACTTAAGAATTAAATCGTTTAATTTGTATTTATAGTGAAAATGAAATGAAAAATTTTAACACCGAACACCGCATTTACTTCTTAATGTTGGTAACGCGATAAATATTCCCACCGGTTCACAAATTAATTTTCATTTAGACTAAATTTAATAGTGTTGAAAGAAATTATAAGATTTATTTGTTCTCTTAATTGCATTGAAGTGACTCCTCTGTGTGCAAGAAAAGGATAAATTACGTTGTAACTTTAACTTGGAGATGCTTCACAGCGAAACCTACCAACTTTAAATTTACATTCAGCTCTCACGATTCAGAGATTATCTTAATTGCTCCTTTTAACGACTATTTAATTTGTAATTTTATTTAAATACAGATGAAACTTATAAATTAATAACATAAATATACGAATTATATGAAACAAAATTTAAAATTAACAAATTTAAACAACGAGAGGCAAAATCACAAAACTAGCCGGTGATTTCAATGCTCGATAGACAGCGAAAGAAACAAAAATTTTCTTTCGTAATAAGTAGGTAGTTAATTTATTTAACGCTAAATTCGAATTTGATTTTTTACAACGAAAAATTTTTTAGGAAGTCAGTAATGGTGAGTTATTCTAAAAATCTATGTTAACTTTCGGAAGCCAACCGACAGGTAGGTGAAACCATTGTGTGAAACTTAATAGAAATTACAAGTAAATTCGTCATTGAAAAAACGAGAGTTCCGGTCGTTTATGGCGTCATAAGGTACGTCAACTCTCAGTTTTGAAACGCTAGATATGGATAAGTTATTCATTATGAATTGTAGGCATATTTTCATGTTTTTAGGATTATTTGAATGTACCTCTAAGAACGTTTAAACTTTTTTTTAACATAAAGATCTCAAATTTTTGGGATTTTTGAATTGTTGTCATTTCTGAATTTCACAAACGTAGGTAACAAGTAAATTCATTAATTCAATAGATACTTGTAATATGAAACTTCGAACGCTTTTTTGGCCACAATCTCGTTAGTATCTTGTGTTAAATTTTTCAATCACGTATTAAGTTGTTGTTGCTAACGTATTGCTACGTATCAAGTAAAAAATTTCTTAGAAAAAAGCTGCTTTACTTACTAATTCGACTTCGATACTCCATATTAAAAAAACTCTTTTATCCGGCAACGGGATATCAGAATGCATAATTAATTTTGAAACCTAAGTTACAAGTAAATTACTTACCGGATGGGGATTATGTTTTATAAAAGGCGGCAAGATTGATTACTGCACCTCAAAACGCGTATTTATAGTTATTAATCAAATCTTTATCCCTACTATTAACAATCTGTGAATGACAATTTCGCAATAAAAAGTTGTTTTGAATACTGTTAGTTCTAAAATTAGTTATTCATTACAAGAGAGGTCGGCAAACTATGGCCTAGGGCTACATGCTACATGTTTATTTTTTACAGCAAATTAGTGCCATTGGCACAATAAAAATTTAGACTAGGTATAGATAATAATCTAAATAAAAAATACATAAATCTCCCAGAACTAAATTTTAAATAACTCAAAAATCCGGACTTTGGTGAAACTCTGAAACACCACAACACAAATTTGGAAGTAGAATTTTTTTAAGTTTAAGAAATGTTTAGAAAAGTCAGTTAAATTAAGTATTTCAGTGAGTGTACAGTAAGCATCAAAACTCCCTTGTTTGTGCCTATTTTAAATCGGTTGGGAAATGATCTATTTATGCATACTTATGAGGAGAATGTAACATTAGGTATCTCTCTACTCTTATGTAAAAAATATAGAATTCTATAAAACGTCAAAAAATTTATAACACGATTTGATTTTATTTTGGTTATGTTTACAGGTTGAGTCACTGAGCGTGTGGTCCTCGATATCTCATTAATTTAGAGATGGAAAAAAGTCAGAGACTGAAGTTGTACGGCTCTTTGAATGGCAGAAATTATAATTATTTTTGACTTTACAGAGTGTTTTTTGTTTTCGGGTCATAGAATACATATATTTTTACATATTCTTATTAACAGTGATTTGAACAAATTACTTTTAAAAAGTAATGCATTACAATTACTCATTATTCAGTAACAATAGTAATTCATTACAATGACAAGTTACGTTTTTTTAAAGGAATTCATATCATTTATTGAGTATTTGGCTTAAAAGTAATTGTAAAAGTGACTAAAATACATTTTTTGGACAATAATACATTACAATTACTCATTACTTGAAAAGAAATTGAATTGCAGTAATGAATTACTTGTAATTGAATTACTTCCAACCACTGCTTATTAGTAACCCGTAACTATACTTTATTTTTGAAATTGACACATTGCCACATTTTTCTCATTTTTAAAAATTATCTTTTATCAACGCGAAAGTAATTTTTAGGATTTGCTTTGCAATAGAGAGATAAAATAGGAGAAATAGTTTTAATATTTTAAATAAGTAAAAACATTCCTTTCCATTTTTTTAAACTTTATTTTTAATTTTGTATTCAGCTAAATTTATGTGTATTTTTGCCTCTCTATAATAAATTCGGTAGAATTAGAAGTAGACTGTAAAAAATTTCACAGTGTCACAAGAATTCTAGAATGCCTACATCATATCGAAACTTGTAAAGTTCTAAACCATTATAAAACACAAAATGGTTTATTGAAGAAAAAGAGGAAAATAATTAGGAGTAATATTTTTAATGATTTCGTGTCGACAAATTTCATCTTTTAACCAGTTTTTTTGCTAGAACAAGATAATTTTGTATTTTGAAACCTTCAGCTCTGAATAGACCTTAGTAGAGAATTTACATTGTGTTTTGTTTCTGACCTACTCATACACACCACTGTGAACATTCCTTTAAAATAATTAGATTTATATAGAATTTCCTCTGTTATTTATGACTCCGAACCTTTCAAACTATTACTTGGAAAGTATGTCAAAAGTAAATTATAACTTTAAGTTCCTGAATTACATTTTATAAAAATTTCTATTAAACACGGAATGAAAATATTTTTATAGAATTTAATAAAATCTTCTGCTTCTTTGTTTTGCGTTTAAATAATTTTTCATCAAACTATGTAACCATACCTACTTTTAGGATTCCTAAAAATATTTTTGAAGGTTATTTCTGTTTGCAAATTTTGATTTCACAAGAAAAATTAAATTATGGCACAAGGATACATCTAATGCAGTAATAAAACTTAATATATTAGTAATTGTTGTTTAAGGTCTTTTTCATCAAAAATGAAAGGCACGCTTTTGTTTGCATTATTTACAACCAGCGTTTATTTTTTATTAATGTATCTTTGCTATGTCATCAATGGGTCCCATTCAACATCGAAGAAATCAATCACACTTGATAAGTTACTCATTGCCAATATTATCGACCTCCTTGCTAAATCGCCTTCAAAAATGAGTACACATCTCTTTTCTTGTATTGCGAATTCATCGTAAAACTTCCTTAAAGGTGTCATAAATTTACGTAAACTACAATGGTTCTCGTGAGGATAAACGTTTTACTTCACTGTTATAATGTTCATTTTGATTGCTCCAGTCAACAGTCCGGAAGTAACTTTCATGTAATCCTTGATGCAACAATTTTTTTTACAAGTGGGCAACAAAAAACAAACATAATTGCATAGAATATTGTTATTGTGTTTGTGCAAATAGAGGGGCCAAAGTGTTAAAATCAATTAAAGGAAGAGGGGACTAACTCTTCTACTATATAAATTCTGGCTGAAGGGGTTTCTAGTCAGTTACCTTTTGATAGCAATCATGAAGGTAAAAAAAAAAACAAACTAAAGAAAATTTTGTTTCAATAATTTTTTCTTGTTTACAGGTATTCGTTTGCGTGCTAGTTGTGGCGGTGGCTGCCAACGTTGTTCAAGGTATGATTTATTTTTCTTAATGAATTTTATAAACGTGAAGAAAAATTTTTTTCCCTCTAGTATATCTACATTTTATTATTTTTTAATTTTCATAGTATATTTTTTTGTTTTTTTTTTTCGGAAATACGACTCATTACAATAAAATTTATAATAGGTATCTTAAATACGTCTTTTTTGTTCATTTTTATTTTATTTAATTTTTGTTTACGTAAATATGTTACTACTACTCTCTTTAGTAGCTGCTGTCAAGGTGAAGACGACATTTAACAAAAGTCTATATTTATAGAATGTGTGCTTAATGAAACTATTAGCATCTCCTCGTGTACGCAAATATTAAATTAGTGAAAGTCCATGTCAATGAAATGATAGAAAGAAATAGATAAACAGTTGAACTCGCAACAAAATAAACATTGAACATTTGAAAATTTACCTTTTTGTTTCAGGAGGGTTTAGCAGTGGCGGCGGTGGTGGTGGCTGGCAAGGCGGCGGCGGAGGTGGTGGCTGGCAAAGCGGCGGAGGAGGTGGTGGCTGGCAAGGAGGCGGCGGCGGCGGTGGTTGGCAAGGAGGAGGCGGCGGCGGTGGCTGGCAAGGAGGCGGCGGTGGAGGTGGATGGAAGTCCGGAGGAGGTGGTGGCGGCGGCGGCGGCGGCCAAACCATAAAGATTATCAAGATTATTGTCCCTAACGGTGGAGGAGGCGGTGGACACGGAGGCGGCGGTGGTGGCGGATATGGAGGTGGCGGAGGCGGTGGCCACGGAGGCGGCGGTGGTGGAGGATGGAAATCCGGTGAGTGTTAAAGACAGTGAGTTTTAGATTATATCGAAGTAATAATAATTTTGTTGTAGGTGGTGGCGGTGGATGGGGCAAATAATCCATTGGGGAAATCGCAGCACCTTTCGTTCATGAATTTAATTCGGTTTCATTTTGTATTTAGTTCATCACTGAATTTGTAAATATTTTTTGTACTATGTGCTGTAAATAAATGCTCTTTTGCTAAGTTATGTTTTTTTTTTGTTGAAATTATAAATACTTTATTGTTAAATGTTTTTGTTCACAATGAACGAAATTTTTGGTCCGAAAGAACTCAAAGTTCTACCATCGCCATATCATAGGCAGTTTCATCACAGTATTTCATTTTACAGAAAACTTATATATGTTGCATGAAAGCATTGTTGTATATTAAGTTGCATATAACAAATTGCTATATTTTGTAAGCTCACTGACATTTCTTGAATTCTTAAATATTATTAAGATTTTTAACTAAAATATATTGAAGAAGTGTACTTTTAAAATCAAAATTTACGTTTTTATACAATTGGAGGTGTTAAAACTTTATACTGTATATATATTTTTTTAAGTGCAAAACACAAAAATTTTTAAGCGAATTTTAAAATAATTTGTATTTAACCTATTTCGCATTTGAAACATTTACCGCATACACTTCAGTGATTTCAAGACATTACACTGTAATATTTAGTATCTATGCCTTTAATTTTGGATTTTACTACCTATGCAAAATATAGTTAGTATTTAGGAGTATTTGTTTTTGAAATAATAAACGTTAGCCAAATAACATACATTTTTTTTCTTTAAGGATTTTGTTTTTTTCAAAATAACAACAATATATTTTACAAAATGATACATACTTATTAATAGTAATATATAGTAAAAATTAACGATGAATTAATGATACTCTATTTTCTTCTTCAGGACATTCTACTCAAATTTTCTTTAAGTTCTTTAAGATTGTTATAACAATGGAAAAAATTTGCCTGTCTCTGAATATAATTAATTTGGTCATTTCACAATTTTGTTTTTAACGGAGCATATACTTCAGTAATAATAAAAAATTGGTCGAAAGTTATTTTGACAGAATTTCCCTCGCTTTTGGTTTCACTTTCTTTAATAAATTGATGGTTCATTAATTTTTTTTGGTCACCCTGTATAAGCAAATCTAAAACATATGAATGCAATGATAAGTTACAAGTATAGTCTGATCATATTTTGCACATTTCCGAAAGAATTTTTTCAGCAAAATTTTGGGACGGCGTCATCAAATTTTCAGGAGCGATGAGCAAATACATTTTGATTTAAAAATTTAGCATGCCTATGATAACTTTAAAACATCTCCAAGATTTTAAAGCATTCGGTTTTCTAGTTCCTGATTAAATCAATAAAATAAATTTACGCATTCATTTATTTTTTGGGTCACCCTGTATATGCAAATCCAAAAAATATTAATAGAATGTACATTCTAGTTTGGATTTATTCAACAAACTTTTGAGCTGACATCATTAATTTTTTGGAGGGGATAAGTAAATAAATTTTGATTAAAAATATATCGTTCTTATCATAACTGTAAACCATCTGCAAGATTTCAAAGCATTCGGTTTTGCAGATTCCAAAATTAAATTGCAAAATGTTGTTTCAAAATTTTGTTTTTTTTTCTAAAAATCTGGACGTTTCGGGTAAAAATTCCATTCGGAGTCATAAACTAAATGTGTAGGACTATGTTATTTTATACGTTTTAAAACGCATTTACTATGTACGATTTTGAAGTGACGTCATCACATTAGTAGTGGGGATGATTAGACAAATTTTGGTTAGCTTTTTACAATCGGCCCAGTACTTTCGGAGATTATCTGTCTAATAAAAATCTGGGATGGCAGACAGACGGACAGACAGGCGGACAGACAGACGGACAGACAGACGGAAACGGGCGACCTAGTTCTTCGTACTCTAGGTGTCATGAAAGGTCGAGAAAACGTAAAAGTAGAGAGTCGGTCGACGGATTCGATTACAATACTTCCTTTGCTTACGCTCGGGAAGTAAAAATAAATTTGTGAAGCAAATTTGAAAATTTGCTGCTAAATGTCATGAAAATTGACATTTGAATTTTAAAACACCATAGACAAGAATTATTTCGTCGCCAACAGTTTGGGTTAATCACCGTAAGTTAGAATTGTGTAGTAAGTGAGCTTGTATTTAATACCTTGTTTTCTGAGTTCTTGAAAACAATCTTAACAGATTTTATTGAAATTTTGAAAAAACATTGATATTAATTTCGTTTTTGGAGAATGTTGGACGAATATTATATAAGTACATTGACATGAAACGCAATATTTTTTCCGATACATATAGTTTACCAATTTCCTCAAAAACTGTTATATTATGAACCTATTTACTTCGTGATCAACATTATTTTGTACATATCAGAAACCACATATTCATCTCCACCAAAATGGGATGACTTAATCTCAGAAGGATTTTTAAACAAATCATTATTGAATGTTACATGCTTGCGATATTGTGTGGATGTTACTAGTGTTTATTACTTCTCCCGAATAAGCTAAGAAGATACGGTAATAGGGTCCATCGGTCGACTGGTTACTTTCATGTTTTCTCGAGGTTTCGTAACCCCTCGAGTACGAAAAAATAGATCTACGGTTTCCTTTTGTCTGCCTTTCTGACGACTTGGGGGTCGTAAATATGTTGAACATTGTTAAAGCAAAGATCGCTAGTTCTATTGACGTATGTGTCGCATTTTTTTTATGGATCACATCAAGAACGATTCACCCCATTTTCTCGAAATTTTGAGAATACAGTACTGTTGCGCCCGCTATATTTAACAATAATAAAATAAGGATTATCATAACAACAGTTATTTATCCAAAATAATACTTAGATCTTAGATCATTTTACCCCATTGTAGCTGAACTATTAAATTTAGCTCTTCTTCTCTTTAAGGAGACAAAATCATTCAAATCGGCAGCTTACTACGTACTTAATGGTCGCATTTTTTCGATGTACAATTATAAACAATCGAAGTGTATCCGTTAGTTATTTGCGGCGCAGGGGCTGCGGGGGTGTTATTTACGCCTCTACATAGCATGTTTCTGTATCTGTACTTTAACAGTCCATACATATATTTACTTTAACTTATAGGGGTTACCATAATAAATAAAACAACTTTTTTATTATTTTTGAAGACGCTATATTTTTTCGAATGTACTTCAGGGGCGGGAGAAGTTTTGTCTAAATAACTTTAGGCCAATTTTTTCAAATTGGTTAGAAAGAACAAGTATGTTATGGTTACTATTATTGCACAAAATTAAGATATTTAAATCCTCATCAAAAAATCGAAAATATCATTTCAGATATTTTTTTTTTTGAGATAAATGTCCATAAAAAACAAAATAATGAACCGCTTTACTTTATAAAATTTCTCAGAAAAACCACATTTAATTTTTCTGAAATCTTTCCAACACAAAAATGTTGTGATTCTCTTAGAACCATGATGACTAAGGTACTATATACATATACATTAGGGTGATTCAAAAAAAAAAAAAAAATTTTTTTTTTCGTGTCAAAGAGGTTCAAAAGTTTCTTTTCAACGTAAAAAAATACCAGTTAAAAGTTGAGCTCTTAATATTAATATTAAGACCGTCCGCATCGCGTTTTTCTATTTCCCATAAGAATAACATGGGAAAATTTTTGTTTGCACCTTCTGATTTTTATTGCTAGCCCGTCGTGTGTCGTGAAAAAAATTCAATCACATATTTTTATAGAGAATTGAACGCTCTACAAAAAGTGTCTCCTATGATTTTGCGAGAAACCTGACTATGATTTTTTAACCCACTGATGCTGAAAATGTTCGGAAAGAGTTTTACTGGCCTTATTATAGCATAAAATTATAAACAATTACTGTTTAAAAAACTAAATTTAAAATGTGTATAAATTTTTGTGGTGATTTATTCCAATAAGACCATCAAATTTATTGTAATGCATCAAAAACGTCAAAATTTGGATAAATTTAACTTTAGCCTAAAATAATTCTTCAACTATCAGGTTTCTCGCAAAATCATAGGAGACACTTTTTGTAGAGCGTTCAATTCTCTATAAAAATATGTGATTGAATTTTTTTCACGACACACGACGGGCTAGCAATAAAAATCAGAAGGTGCAAACAAAAATTTTCCCATGTTATTCTTATGGGAAATAGAAAAACGCGATGCGGACGGTCTTAATATTAATATTAAGAGCTCAAATTTTAACTGGTATTTTTTTACGTTGAAAAGAAACTTTTGAACCTCTTTGCACGAAAAAAAAAAATATTTTTTTTTTTTGAATCACCCTAATATACATATATGAACCATAAATAAAAAAAATATTAATTTTTATAAAAATATATTTACATGATTTTAACTTAAAACTTACAAAAATATATACAGTGTTTTGGATGTAAAATTGTGAGTAAAATCACTGCCTGAGCAGACGTTTTCCACTGAACACAGAAGATGTGCGGCTTTTACCACCAGCCACCACCTATAACAGAAAAAATTATGAGAAACCCGTCAATAAACCACCTGGGTGATCTTACCTCCGCCGCCACTGCTCCATCCACCTCCTCCGGATTTCCATCCGCCGCCTCCTCCACCAATCCATCCACCTCCTCCTCCGCCGCCGGATTTCCAGCCGCCGCCGCCGCCACCACCTCCGTAGCCGCCGCCTCCTCCGTAACCACCGCCGCCTCCGCTAGGCACAATGATTTTAATGATCTTTACGGTGCTTCCGCCACCTCCGAAGCCACCGCCTCCTCCGTAACCGCCGCCGCCTCCTCCGAATCCACCGCCGCTAGACTTCCAGCCCCCGCCTCCTCCGTAACCTCCGCCGCCTCCGCCGAATCCACCGCCACCGGATTTCCAGCCACCGCTGCTTATCCAGCCGGAGGAGCCGCCTCCATATCCGCCGCCACCTCCGCTGCTTAGCCAGCCAGAGGAGCCGCCTCCATAGCCACCGCCGCCGCCGCTGCTAATGTAACCAGCTGGAAAAAAAGGAGACTGTTAAACGACTGCAATTTTCTCCCAACGGATGGAATGTCAAAGGGCAGACTTTTTTTTTTGTTGAGTGAATGTTGCACTTTCTCTTGCATTTGTGGGTAATTGTAGTCTATAAAAATCAGATCCGTCTTCTGGTATTTTCACCTGGCTAATGGGTAATGTCATCGGATTTAATTAATGTGGATTGTATTAGGTTATAGTGAGATTGTATAATGGGAACCTGTCATTTGTAGACTGCATAATCACAATGCATTATCTGATTGCTTTTAAAAATGGAATAAAAAGAGAAGTTTTTGTTTTTAAGATTAAAAGATTCAACATTCACAAGTTTAATCTGATATTCAGTTATTAAATTTTCGTTTTGTTGATGCTATCAGATCATATTATTATTACGATTAAGAGAAAGCCTAAATGTTTCAAATTTAAATAGTAACAATGTATTATAAAAACGCTACAATCAATAAATTAATTTTTTAACTGTTTTTATTTGTTTTGTGATTTAATATTTTACCTATTATGTTGCAAGTGGAATAAAAACGTTATTACTTACGAGTGTGGAAAGAGGCGTAAGCGGAGATGTGTAATCACACGAGTATGCTAATAAGATTCTAGTTTATGTGTGTGATACAAAAAAATTTGCAAACAAATTGTGCTAAAAATGCTTATGGCAATCTAATATTATCATATTGACTTGGAAATATAGATTATTACGCCATTTAAATGACTGGGGTAAATGATTATTATCCCACGTGTTGTCGATATACAGACAACCAAAGAATAAAATAAAAAAATGAAATAATATTCAAGTTGTATATTTTTTAACATTGAATTAAATTATCATTTTTGCAATTTCTAAATCTGAGTAAAATAATAAAAAAAAATATATTTTTAATACATAATACGCAAAATTTGTAAAAAAGATAATAATAATAATAAAACATACCTTGAGCAAAATTAGTGGCTGCGGCCACCGCCAGTAAACAAACGAACACCTGAAAAATTACCAAAAGTTAGTACTAATAAGCACACAAATTAAACACTACTGCATTAGTATAAATTGAAGTGTGATTTCTTAGTTACCTTCATGATAAACCCAAAAAAGGTGACTGACTTTAGACCCCAATGTTCGTGTTTATATAGGTATAGTTGGAGCCTTGGACCCCCCTTTCTAATCCCTCAACTCATCTTGGTTTCAGCCCCTCTCATTTACCACACAACAATACTATATCGTAATTGCACCATTTTCATTCATTTAAAAAAAATCTCACCTCCGCTTCTTGGCCATGTAATAGGTGCACGAAAATGATTTCCTGCTTTGTGCCACTTCTTGATAATCGCCGGTTCAGTAGGCCTCCAGGCTTTGACGAAGAAATATTGCGGATCCACATGAGAATTTCATTACATTATGACATCACTGTGGATTAAAATTACATGCGTGCAGTGCGAGATTTATTGTAGTGACTAGAGCTTTAATTAACGGAGTTTGAGTAAAGGAGTTAATTGATGATATATTTTTTTCTTAAATTAATAACTGTTCTAATGATGAATCGGAAGAAGTGCAGCTGTGATGTAAGAATTGGTGATAGTATATGGGAAGAAAAAGAGTTATTATGTCAGCACGGAATAATTTACCTATAATTCTGACGGATACATTTTAATTACAGAAATCTTTCCAGAATTAAGTGGATCTAGATGTGTTAAGAACATGCATAATGCTGGAGAAAGTTGTCAAAGTGGTACCGCCAAAACAATTAAAAAATGATACATATTTTGTAACTTTCATATTCTGTTCATAGTGTAAATATTGCGTCTTTATCACTTAATTACTTAAAGTTGACTGACTGCCGAAATTATCTAACACCGTGTTAGTGGCAATGCAAAATTTAAAAACGTCCTGTAAGTTTGTTTACCGTTGAAATATTGTTTCCTAATTTATGTCGGACATGTATATATGATGTACTTGCAAAAACAGTCATTTTCGTCAGTTCTAAATCCTGGACGAGTAATCAAAACATCATTTCTTCAGAATGTGTGTAAAAAATTAGGTTTGCGACTGCTTGCGGCTTAACGTCTTTTTGAAAAAAATTAATAGAATTGTAAACATTTTGATTATCTTTTTTTGTGATCAAATTAGCTATAAATTCTCATTTAAAAGACACAATGTGTTAAGTAGCTTTTTATGTTATTGAAATGAATTGAAAAACGAATTTTATTAGTTTTGTGTTATAATTTTATTAAAATATTTACGTTTATGTTCATTTCGCAATCAAATAATCACGTTTTCAATATGAAATATTGTGAGCGTAATTTAAACGCATTCTTGAGTAAAAAAAAATTAAAGTGCTTTTGTGCGTATACGTTAAATGCATTTATCATATGGTTTCTAATAATGAAGTTGCATGTATCGAAACTAGGTTGAGTGAAATTTGAGACGAACTTTAATGAGATGTACTTAGAGAAGAATTCTATTTTATTTAAATTTTTTATTCTTACACTTGGATGGTTATTATGTTGATGACACAGAAATAGTGGAACAGTCACTTTTACATCTAAATACCCACATTACAAATTCAGCAAGGACGCTTAATTTTTACCAACTTTCGTAAGATTTTTTCGTAAAATTTCGTGATTTTGTTAAAAAATTAAAATTTTACAAACACATATAACTTCATGTCGAATATAATTCTTTTGTGTTATATAAGCATTTAATGGAATTGACCGTGATATTCGCTGACAGTGAAGTTCGTTAAATGATCTATGAAATTATTGCTTTGTTGTATACTACGAGCAGCATGCTACATTAGTGACTTAAGTACAAGCCACAACAGTAAAAGTGAAGAAGCGAATCGGTTCCAATCTGTAAAACGCCTCTAATATCTTTTGTACGTATGGAATGTTATCATCAATATGCCTTTGTAGGTTATGCAAATACATACAGTTGTAGTTATTAATACCAAATGTGTATACCAATATGTGTTAAAATCATATGCTGGAGTTCTAAAAAGCAGAAATGTTGATTACCACAGGGGAAAGCTTAAGTATTTGTATCTTCGTATTAGAAATTGTTATATATAAAATAAATTTATAAGAAAAATTCCGGAAAACTCATTATTTCATTTGTTATTTTTAGCAATTAGTTTAATTAACCATTCTTCATTGGAAATATATGTGTACATACATGTAATAACTGTTTTTATGCCCTTCCGCTAAATTCTAAAAAGCTAGTCTATAAAACAGTCGTTCATAAGAAACTAGATAACATGAAATGATTTCCTTCATTTTCACAGTAGGTCAAAAACTTACAACCAGAAGTGCAGCTTGTGTGATAATTGCATTAGATAACTATATTAATTTTTAGCAATGAATATAAAATAAGTATAATATAAATTTCGACGTATTTTATAAAAATTTCGTGCTAGAATCATTCTCACTTATAATAGCCCGAGTGGAACACGAGGGTTATTTAATACGTTTTTGAAATGCATGAGAATAAAATTTCAGGATATTAATCAAAGCACGAGGGCGTATTCGCTAAGAAAATCGTACAAGACACAAACGGCCCTAATTTGAGTCATTTTATTCAAATCCATGTGCCTAACCGATCTAGACCCAAAATATAATAATCTTAGTAACTACAATAATTGTGTACTTTATTTAAATTAACAATAAATTTTATCCAGAAAATTTTTTGGTTGCTGCGGTAACCGTCCTAAATTCTATTCTGTTATTGGCCTGTATTTATGTCGTACGATTTTCAAAAAAATTAAAAATAAGTTGCATACATACGAACATAACGTGCCGTACAAACAATATATGTATGCATAAAACGAATTTTATTATTCTGTCAGATGACGTCATTAACTTTTCTACGAGGATGAATACTGTTATTAGTTAGTTAGTTTGTGATCTCTAAATTAATCGCTGTAATGGACCCACTGTATATTTAACGGGCGTCCAGAATGTACTTTATATATTTTCCATATAGATATTTCGATAATATTGTTTGTTGTCATATTTTCTTACCATTTTAAGGTTAAAATGTTCATTACTCAAATAATTTTTCTTAACTTTTCAAAATTTTTAATCAGTACCAGACATTGCAACATAATACTGTTGAACTCAAGCTTTCACCAGAGTATTTTGCGATATAATAGTAAAATTCTATTGAACGACGGAAATACGTGGAAGGATATGGATACTAAAACTGCAAAGTTATTGTTCCGACTATTTCAAAACCTATTTAGCATGATGGACCTTCAGGCAACACAACTACCATTACGAGTGCTAAGTCATGACTTGTATTAATTTGATATTGTTGTTGTCAAATTAGGGTCACCTCTGTGAACATTATGTATTTACCAATCATTAATCTGTGACTTTGCTTAGAAGAAACCTATAGTAGTCTGATTTAACCTAATTCGAGCTAAACTTTCCCAAGCAACACGATGAGACTGTTCGAGGAACTTACAATGAACGTGCGATATGTTCTCAACTATACTGTTTGTTTTTGTTTTGGTAGAATAGTGACCGAGTGTAGGTATAGCAGGAGTTATTATTAAAGTTCACATGTAAAAATTTGGAATTGTATGCAAAAATGGCTAAAATATCCAAGAAATATATGCAAAATATGCAAGAAAAATTACTTTTTTTTACACATTAATATTTTATTTCATGATTATTTACAACACTTATAACTTAGATAATACATATTTGGGCTTAAACTACACATTTACAAATTAAGTATGTCGGTGTATTCTATTACGCTATTAAGTAGCTATTTTATTGACTAACTAGTTACTCTCTTGAAAAATATTATTATTTACATTTATTATAATATGTTTTTCGAGATTTTCCATTTTAAATGAATGTCTTCGATCACTTAAAATATATAATAGAGAGATAGAGAGAATGAATGGTGAGAGGTGACGAGTGTGTTTCTTACTGCCCCGCAACTTTTGCTGATTTATGGTGAGATTTATCCTCTTTAATTTGGAAAATTGGCGGCATTGCGTTACTTATCTGTTGCGCCTTTGTTGACTTTGTTGATTTTAGTTTCTCAACTAACAACGATTTCCCTCGGTTTTTCTTTGCTGTTATCGTCGTTATCGGGTGATAAGTTTCTTTAAATTCTGGAGGCGAATGACTGCGGTATATCGTATCGTAGTCTTCGCCTCAAACTATTTTGGCGCGTACACGGTTAATTTGATCGTGCATTAAATAAATTGAAAGGATGGAGGATCATACTTCCATCTTTCCTTTCAAGGAACAATCGGTAGTTCTTAACACTACTGAGAATTTAGAATTAATGGACTATGTTAAAGCTATTGGAAACACAGTAACACCGAAAAATGTTTTGTTTGCGTCGAAAATCTCGAAACAACGAATTTGTATTTATTTAAGTGCTACATCTTGGGTTGATGAAGTAGTTTCTAATCACTCGTCGGTTACATTAAAGACCAAGTCGTGGTCGTGCACCGTTTAATTAATCCTGCGCGTTGCATTATTTTGTCTAACGTCTGTCCGTCCATTCCCCATACTGTATTTGAGAACCAGATTAAAACCTTAGGATTTGCGGCAATTTCAAAGATGGTTTTTATTAAGGCTACAGTAGGTGATGAGTATGCACACTTCCTAAGTTTTCGAAGACAGATTTAGGTTCAACCTAATGACACGATTGAATTGCCCTCTTCTCTCGTTTTAAAGTACGATATAATACCAACTACCGTATTTTCTTAACGTTTGACGATGTTTGTTTTAAATGCAAAGTGGTCGGTCACTATGCAGGTGACTGCCCAAAAGTTGTTGAATCTACTTCACCAGTTCATTCTAAACCTGTTGCCACATTAGCTGGAAAAAGGCAAACCACAGATGACGATACATCTATGTTAAATCCACTTGACCTTTCAAATAATACTGGTGATAGTGATAGCAAGTCAAAAAAATTAAAGAAAAGTGCTTCTACTGAGAGTCTAACGCCCACGACAGAGCTGCTTTTACCAGCAAAAGACTTAATCACTAACACAAATGAATATCCTTTAGATTATGACCAGACTATTGAATTCATGACAAAGGTTAATGAAGTTAGTGATATATTAGTACTGGTTGCAACTTACACTAACGATATTCAGGGAGTACTTAATTAAATGTTTGATATTTGTAAAGTAGTCACACACAAAAGGATTAAGAACGAATGTGGAAGGGTTCAAAGAAGAATTAAGTAGTAAAGTTAGTAAAGTTTCCAAGCCTAAAGCAAGTCCAACTTTTGAGTTTAGCAACGATCTTAATCTGGCTAACTTAATGCATGAACCAAGTGGTGATAATTATTATGGTAACATTCACTCTTTATTCAAACTATTTTGTTCGCTCAATAGCTTATTCTAAGCTGCTTCTTTAATTGCAAAGTTTACCGATTTTTGTGTATTTGTGGAACATGCCAAACCTTCCATAATTTTATTGACTGAGACGTGGCTGACTCCGGTATTACCTGACGGACTGATCAATTTAAGAGATTATAAGTTGTTTAGAAAAGACCGACCTAGTAAAAAAGGTGGTGGTGCGATATACGAAAAATTGAAAAAGTTAGACGTGTCAAAATCTCCTGGTCCTCATTTTGTTACCACTAAGGTTCTTAAGTGTTGTGAGGATGTGCTTAGCGAACCTATCGGAAGGCAATCGTTTGATACAGCTTCCCTGCCACCGGACTGGCGTACAGCAATAATTCGTCCTATTTTTAAGAAAGGAGATAAATTTAATGCCGGTAATTATAGACCAATTAGTCTTACTTCCGTAGTTGTCAAAATTATGGAATCAATTTATTTATGAGCAGCTGATCCAATTTTTAATAGATTATTCTTTAGTACGAACACAGCAGCATGGTTTTTTACCTGGTAAGTCAATTCAGTCCAATCTTGTATGTTGTTTGTCAGACTGGACCAGAGAATTTGATTCTGGGAACACTATAGATGTTTTGTATGTATTTGCATTTCTCCAAAGCTTTTGATCCCGTTCCTAAACGTCGACTGTTAGTTAAACGCTAGCATTCTGGAAAATCAGGTAAGCTTTGGCGTTGGATTCTTTTCTCAGCAATCGTACATTTCGTGTTAAAGTGGGCAGTTCTTCCAGTCGACCAGTGGAAGTGTTGAGTGGGGTCCCGCAGGGTTCTGTCTTAGGTCCTTTGCTTTTTGCAACATATACAGCAAATTTAAAGAATACAATTAAATCGCAGTTTGTAATGTATGCAGACGACATTAAGTTATACAATAATAATTCTAATGCTGTGCTTTTCAAAAAGGATCTTCTTGCAGTATACAAATGGTCCACTGATTGGCTGCTTCCACTTAACATAAATAAATGTGAAGTTCTTTACATTGGTAAGAAGAACCCAAAGGTTTCATACTATATTGATGGTAATGGATTGACCAAATCTGGGAGTATTAGTGAGTTTTCACCTGTCGTGGTCAAATCAGGTTGTTCATGTTACTAAAAGAGCCAGCTCCATGTTGTTTCTTCTAAGTAAAGTTTTTTGTGAAACTAATCCCATATGTTGGAATTTGCAAACTTCGCATGGACTCCTGTTCTCCAACGGGACATCTTACTCCTAGAGTCGGTGCAGCGTAGGGCGACTAGGATATCTTACGGTAGAGTACGACCAAATTATTGTGAAAGGCTTGCGGTAATGAATTTGACAACCCTGACTGAAAGGCGAAAAAGGGGTGACTTAGTGACAACTTTCCAATCTTTGTCCAATTCACAGTCGCCTATTCATCATTTGTTTACTTTGAGCACGGATCAGCGAATCTGGGGACATCGTTTTAAGTTGGCAAAAGGTCAATTTATAACAACCGTTCGACAGTTTTTTATCATCAACAGGGTTTTCCACGACTGGAACTCGCTACCCCAAGAAATTGTTGACAGTCAGTCAACTGCGAGTTTTAAAGTTAGATAGGATGCCCACTCCTGTAGATTGCACAACAACTAATAACTTGTATATCGCTAATCAATAGCGCGGGCATAACAGGCCTCGGCCTCTGCCCGGTCGCATTAACTAATAATAATAATATTTATACACTGAAAAACTACGCTCTACATCAACAGATTTTATTGGGGCATGTTTAAGAGTCGACACAAATTGAGAGTCTATATTTACCTCCTCTGAAAACTGTCCATCTAAAACTTTTGCGACATTAGTTAGTCTAGTAAAACCCCCATTTTTACTAAGGACTTCGTCTACTTTTTTTGACACTGTTTGACAGTGGCGGCTCGTGACCTTTTGAAATGGGGGGACACAATTTGATTGATGACTTAAATGAAGATATACAACAGGTTGTTATTACCAATTAATAGACGAAATTGTATGACGGAAATAAGTACAAAAATTGGTCTAAAGAGTTTAGACAGTACTTCCCTCGCTGTCGGAAACTTGACGACTGCATGCCTATTGTGTTTTTTTTTCTCATTACAATTTTGTAGTGGGAATTTAAAAAAAAATTGTGATGACGTCATCAACATTTTTGCAAGGACACGTATATCAGTTGGGATAGATGTAGTGTAATACTAAGAATAAAATTATTGTATTCCCAAATTTTCGGGAAAATGAATTGGGTCGTTTTGAATATTGATTTCTTATAATCAATAAAATAACGAAATAATTTACTCACGTATACGGCGCCGGTGTATAATATCTAGAGAGCGGATTTCTGTCGGGCTAGGCAAGGCCAAACTCGGTACGGCTCGTACGGGATGCGAATTCATTGCGGTTGCGGACTGCACTTCGTTTATTTGAGATTAGAATAACGCTGTTTCGTTGCACTCTGCTGTTAATTCCCGTTCTCATTTACTTAGCCGTTTGATTAATAAATCGTTAATTATATTTATGGAATTAGTACCGATTAAATTTAGTGATTATCTATCACCCGGCGATCCAGCACGTCCCCCCATATAATCGTGACGTAGCCCGACACAAATCCACTGTCTAGTAATATGAGGGGCAACTGAAAATCGTTTATGTATAAACATTCTTAATTTAAGATGACAAGCGTAACAGCATACGTGAGAGTCAAACAGAGAAACTGTAAACAAAACGACCATCGGTTTTATTGCTTCAACTTCCGCTTATTATATAAAACATTGGGTTTTATTTTAATTCTTGACGGTGAAATTCACAATTGGTTGATTATAAACATGTCTATTCTACATTCGCGGAACCAAGTGAGCGCATAAAACAAATGCAGGTCTGTAATGTTAAAGTCGATGTAAATAAGCGTGCTACCCTTATGTTTCAACCGAGTTTTTCCTTTAACAAATTTTGTGTCTACCAAATTGGGTTGGTTGGGGTGTAATACTAATAATAAGTGTTGCCTTTAATTTAATCAATAAAATAAATTGACTTCATTAATTTTTTTGAACCACCTCTTAAGAAAATCTAAAAAATATGAATGGAATGATAAATCACAAGTACAAACTTTGTTTGCATTTTAGATAGGATTTATTCAGCAAAATTTAAGGGTGACGTCATCAATTTTTTTAGGAGGGATGAACAAATACATTTTGAACAAAAGTTTACCATGCTTATAATAATTTTAAAATATTCCCAAGATTTCAAAGCATTCGGTTTTGTAATTCCTGATTAAATCGATAAAATAAATTCACGCATTCATTAATTTTTTTGAGTCACCCTGCATCTGCAAATCCAAAAATATGAATGGAATGATAAATCACAAGTACAGACTCATCATATTTTGTACATTTTAGATACGATTTATTCGGCAAACTTTTGAGCTGACGTCATCAGTTTTTTGTAGAAGATAACCAAATATATTTTGACTAAACATTTATTATGCTCTTTATGACCTTAAAACATCTGCAAGATTTCAGAGCATTCGGATTAAATCAATAAAATATATTTACGCATTCATTAATTTTTTTGAGTCACCCTGTATATGCAAATCCAAAAAATATGAATGGAGTGATAAATTACAAGTACAGACTCATCATATTTTTACAGTTTAGATAGGATTTATTCGGCAAACTTTCGAGCTGTCGTCATCAATTTTTTGGAGGGGATAAGCAAATATATTTTGACTAAACATTTATTATGCTCTTTATAACCTTAAAACATCTGCAAGATTTCAAAGCATTCGGTTTTGTAGTTTCTGAGTAAATCAGTAAAATAAATTTACGCATTCATTAATTTTTTTGAGTCACCCTGTATATGCAAATCCAAAAAATATGAATGGAGTGATAGATCACAAGTACAGACTCATCATATTTTGTACATTTTAGATATGATTTATTCCACAAACTTTTGAGCTGACGTCATCAAGTTTTTGGAGGGGATAAGCAAATATTTTTTGACTAAAGATTTATGATGCTCTTTATAGCCTTAAAACATCTGCAACATTTCAAAGCATTCTGGTTAGCAGATTAAAAATTAAATTTCAAAATGTTGTTTTATAATTTTGATTTTTTTTCCAAAAATCTGGACGTTTCGGGTGAAAAGTCGATTCAGAGTTGTAAACTACATGTGTAGGACTATGTTATTTTATACAATTGAAAACCCATTTACTATGTACAATTTTGAAGTGACGTCATCGCATTAGTGGTGGGGATGATTAGACAAATTTTGGTTAGCGTTTTACCATCTGCATGATATTCTTAATATAAGTACAAAATTTCACAACAATCGGTCGAGTACTTTCGGAGATTATCTGTCTAATAAAAATCCGGGACGGCAGACGGACAGACGGACAGACGGACAGACGGACAGACGGACAGACGGACAGACAGACGGACAGACGGACAGACAGACGGAAATGGGAGACCTATTTCTTCGTCTTCTAGGGGTCATGAAAGATCGAGAAAACGTAAAAGTAGAGAGTCGGCCGACGGACTCGATTACAATACTTCCTTTGCTTACGCTCGGGAAGTAAAAAGGATTTCTCCACATATCTTTTCGCCTTCGTTTAAAATTTTACGTTCATGGCACTTAAAAGTTCATTTTGGATAGTTTTAGACGTTCCTTTAAAAACCGTTGCTTCTTTGAAATGATCTGATAAAGTACAATTCAGCCATAAAATCTATCAGACCTCGAAATATACCTGGATTTTGTGATTCCCTACTTTCGCCATGTCTACGTACAGCAAATTCAAACAGTCCACAAAATTTTAGGCACATTATCAGTCGACGTAATATATGGCGATTTTTGTCGACTCTTGCGTCATGTGTCCGAATATTATTAATATAAGCGGTGTGTAGTTGTTTCTGAATGTCTGTATTACCGAGAAGATTATCCAAGAATATTAATCATACGTGTTCGCGCAGAATGAAAATTAAAACTCCCGATTGTAATCGCCGAGCACTATCGGAACGGGACCGCAGTCCAGGTGAATCAGGCGGCTAGGACGTGAGGTTTTCATGGCAGCGGTGTAAGCAAAACGTGTAAACCAGCCATGATTCGGTCTCTGTTCCCGACTTTTAAATATCAGCATTTCATCAGAAATAACATATCATGTATCCAAGACACATTTTATACAAGTGGAGCGAGATAAAAAAATTAGTTTTGATAATTATAACACAAATTTCCGGATAATTTTTTAAATATTGAAGATTACTATTTTGCTATGTCCAGTGTGTTTGCAGACGTTGTAATTTTGGGGGGGCACGTGCTCTTGTGCACCCCGGCACCAGCCGCCCCTGCTGTTTGAGCAATGGGACCTTCTGCTTTATTGATATATTTTTTTTAATTTTCTATTAGCTGTACGGATTTATTTAGGGGTACCTTTTGTTTTTCTAATTTTGTTAATGTTACACCAATAAATCGTAGTATTATTTATGAAACTTACGTTCTGATTTAATTTAGGACTATTTAAAATCTTTTTAGCTTCCTTGATTGCTTCAGATGAACTATCAGCAAATTTTGACATGATTGCTTTCATCTCACAGGAACATTTGAAATAAAATAAAGCTGCGTCAAACCATGTACCCCATCGTTTAGGAGGCAATGGTACATCTGGTAGTGTATCTTTATATACTTGTACTCTTAAAGGAGCCTTAACAAAAACCTTTTTCATGTTATTAATTAATTCATTTACCAATGGAAATTGCTTTCGTACTTCTTCCGCCATTCTGTTTACACCATGGTCGAGACAAATTCAATGAATCAAATTTCTTTTAAGTGGGTTCCACTTTCGACCATATATGACGCAGCATCAGAAATACGATTTTATTAAATGGTATAGCATTGGGTAAAAATGTGCTGTTAAACTTTCTTGGACAAATCTACTTATAGTTACATTATTCGCCTTTTCTAACTCTTTAACAGCAATTAAATAAAAATTTGACAAAGTTTGCAGATAAAGTACCATAGTACCAACTAATAAATTTGCTATGTATCTGTCGCATACATCTGTTGTTTCGTCAAGAACAAAGTAAATTTTGCAAACGTGACTTAATTTTAGCAACAGTATCGGTATAACATTTATCTACATTTGTTTTCCTGAGAGTGCTTTCATCTGGAATGGTCCTTTTACAGTATTTTTCCAAAAATGAATTAATGTCAGATTCCTTGAATGTTTCCTCTTCATTTTTGGCTGTTAGTAGATAAAGTACTGATGTTTGAGTTACATTGGTTGCGTTTCTTTTTTCACAGTTTCTTTTGTGATGAACTGATGAGGCGTTCTGCAGTGTTGGTCTATAAGAAGTTTCTTTGTGTTCGAAATCTATAAAAAAAATTGAAAACAAATAATTATTATTAATGTAAGAGATACCTATTATCGACATTGAATAACATGCATAACATTTTTTTTTTTTGGTTCTCTTAGACTTTAGTTTAAGGACTGAAAATGTATTTTAAAAAACTTACTGCTTTGCCGCAAGGTTTGCAAAAAACATCATCTCCATCTAGAACCACCTCTGAGTAGGGCCGAATCCATATTCGTAATATCACTGTTCTGTCGCCAAGTTCGTAGATGAATGATGAATCAATTTGGAAAACGAAGAATGAAACACCATTCTAGGTTTTCCATCTCTTTCAACCCCTCGTTAAATACATTGGCAAAACTATCTATATTTACAACATCCGTCTTAGAGGGCGTTAAGTAAAGAATTCCAGTAATACGCTTAATTGGAGGTGTCCAAAAATGATGTCTTGGAAAAACCTGTCCGTATTACTGGAAAAGGTCGGTACTTATTTACCTGCGTACTGCGAATAACCAACTGTATTAAAATTGTATTAAAATTAATATTTTCACCAATTCAGTCAGTTTAACTTAACATTAAAATATGCAATAAATGTAAAAAAATATTTAAATATGCAGATTGCAGACTATGCAAAAATATGCATTTTGCATATTATCCGAGCCTTATTATTATCATCTTAAATTTTATTTAATTTCGTTGCTAGCTGTTGCAATACGATTGCGTTAATCCATTTAATTTGATTGATCAGGAAATTATGAAACGAAATGATGTGGAGCAGTTTTTGGTATTTCTAATGCAATCGGAAATAACCATACTGATCTTTGTGGACACTTTCTGTAATTCTTGGTGTGGAATTCATAATTTGTCCCCTCTTCAATTTACAACCAGAACTTGGTTCAGTATTCGAGAAAATGAAAATCCAGACACTTCTAGCTATCCTCAGATTGAACATTCCTTGTTAGTTTTGTAATGTGATTTATAGTGTGTCTTCTGAAAATTATTATTAAACACTTATATACAAGATTATACTGAGTGATTACGCAACCAAATTACACAGGTCGTCTCTTAAAATGTGCAACTTGTATTGTGGTGGGTTACTTACGCTGTCTTGTTTTAACATAATCTACATGTGCTTTGTTTTCACTTTCCGAAGTCAAGTTAGTAGCCGAATTTGTTTTGTTAACAAAATCACACGGTACCACATGATAAAAAAAAGATCTTTTAGTGACTACTGAATTTTAATGCTAAAAAAATTATGTTGGCAACACCAATACGTTGCTGGTGCGGTATGATAGATGCGGTCAAATAAATATCAAATAAACTATCAAATAATTGTACTGCTAATATCATTATTTTAAAACTAAATTTCATGGCCCCCTAGACGACTTTTTTTCGATCATACGGTAGTATTATTAAGACTTACCACGAGGTCAGACATGAACGGATTTACTGCGATAAAACCGAGCTGACGCATTGATGAACTGAAGATGTTTCGACCAAGTTTACGAAAACCTTAACGGAATTACAGGACTTATTTTCAAGTTTTCAAGATTTCTTGTCAAATTTTGATTTTTTTTTAATCTAGACGTCTGTGGTAAACAGTAAGGTCGGTAATAAATTACAGGCTTATCTAGTAGCACAAGGTTTTATAAAATTTTAATATGATTTACTTCTCAAAATTTTGAGAAAACGGCAGCAAATTGTTCCTAGCGATGAACAATCCAATTTTAACAATAATGTTGCTTAGGGTTTAACTATCTACATGATAATAGAAACAATTTTGGTAATAGACCACATTAAAAAAAATGCAAGACTAATACTCCCTTCTGTTTGAACGACGAAGGGAAAGAAAACTGGAAAAATGCTTTAGCTTAATTAACTAAAACAAAAAAATAAATCATATTCCTAAGTCATAGTCTTATGTGAAACTTAGTATTTTTTCTGAATTCGTAATATAATTAATTAATAATAATTGATAAATATTAGGAGTATTAATTTTACAAATTTTAATTTTGTTTTAATTTTTAGAAAAATAAAGTCTTTTAAAACTGATAAACAAACGAAAAATAATGACATCACATCACGCTCGTAACTTTCTCTGGTCTTTATAAATAACAAAATTTTCGTCAAGTTACGTCAGGTTAGGTTAGGTCAGGTCATGTCAGGTCATATCAGTACAGGTACTTTTAGTTAACCCGTTCAAGTTACGTAAATTTAACAAAATGATGTGAATTAATTGGTCTGAAGTGGAGTTTTTTATTCCATTTTCTGAAGTGGATGTTGATTTAAAAAAAAAAAGATGTCTAAATATCTCTGCTGATGATATTTCAAATGTACAGTTACATTAGAAACGTGGTCATCGTTGATGACTTTATCCTCCATTTGTTTACGTTTTTTTTAAGCTTATATGGTTGCTTCAGATGGTAATTGAACACGAGACATTTTTATTTTATTAGGTATTTTTTCAATTTAATGACCTGAATATAAAAATATTACTCCTACAATTTATTTTCAATCTTAAGTAAAATGTGTAAAATAAACTCCCGTTTGCCTTTATCTGCCTGTTTGTCATCTATCATCTATGTTGGTATTTAATAGACTGATAATCTCCTTAATTAATGGAGTAATTGTTGTTAAATTTTGTGTATTTTACGTATATGGTATAGAAGTTAAAACGATAACTATAATTTGTCTAATCATCCCTACCAACAATGTAATGACGTCACCTCAAAATTTTGCGTAGTAAGTAGGATTTAAATTTTATAAAATAACATGCTGTTGTACTTTTGGTTTATGAATCCGCCTTGAGGTTTTCCCGGAGATATCCAAATTTTATATTTTTATTTAAATTTTATAAAATAGCAATTTTTTTAAAAAACATCAGAATTGCACAATAACATTTTACTAATTTTGAAATGGAAATGAATGCTCTGGCATCTTGAACACGTTTTAAGTTTATCGTAAGCATAGTAAATGGTTAATCAAAATTTATCTGTTTATTCCGTCCAAAAAATTGTCGTTTATAAATTTTGCCGAATAAATCATATCTAGAACGTGCAAAATATTATGAGACTGTAACAATGCGTTCAAATTTTTTAAAAATTCTTACACAGCGTGACTCAAAAAAATTAATGATTGAGAGAATATGATTTGACTCAAGTCAAGAACGACTCACCCCAGATATGCATAGTAAACTTTTTTATTTTCATTTTAACACTGCATACATATTTTTATTGTGAATATAGGGGTTATCAACGAAAATTTAAAATTCGCAGAATCAAATTTTTAATTTTTCGAAAAAGCTGGATATGTTGTACTGTGCTTTAGGGCCGAGGGAAGTTCTGTCTAAATAATATTAGACCATTTTTTTAAGTTACAATATTTATTAATAGGTATTACGATAACTTATCTTTCATGATACTGTTACGAAAGAAACTCATACACCGCCCTGACTCATTGTCGATGACGGCGGCCGGAGAAAACCTGGAAGCGGAAGTCACGATAAGCAATCCATTCGACTGCGGAGGCCACCTTCGGGAACGATTATTATTCAGTCAACGAGTCGAGTCCAGTGAGTGTCGCGAAAATCCAGACAGGTTGCACCGGAATTATTTTGTACATAATCGCTGTGTAATTAGTCGTGTAGATTTGAGTTACTAAGATATAAATTGTTGAGTTTAACCCACGCTGATTTTAAATACCCGTATAACGTAACTATACGTACTGATCATTATCTTCCCGAATAAAAAAAAAAGTCATTACCATGCTATTAATATTATCCAAAAGAAGTAAACTTAATGATCACTTTTTCTTATTAGAATATTTATTTTGATAGAAAATGTCCTCGACATGGTTCAAATATTTTGCTTTTTGATTAATTAAATTACTCAAAGTCTAGTTTGTTTTCTATTTACTATCACAACGATGTTACAAATCGCTACAACTTTATCTATAAAAACCTTGGAATGAGTACAGTGCTTTCGTATACGTGATATTTCGTTGCAAAAAGACGTAGAATTTTTCAACATGGGTCTCTTGGACGTCAAATTTTTAAATGATCATTCATACCGAGAAAGTAATGAAAAACACGATCAAAGATAGCCATAGATTTTTAAAAATTTATCTTTGATAGAGTCTTTCAGGATTATCGTCCACTTATAACCATGAGTTGAAAATGTAGCGATCAAAGACAAACATTCAAAAATTCATGGCTGTATTTGTTTATAATTTTTAATGCTGTCTCGATATAATAACACGACTACACTCATTGAGTGGTTAATAGTCTTTTTTGCCACTATCTAAGTAACTCTCGTTAAATTATTGAGCATTTTTATATGTTTAAATGGGGTATGTGAAGCCTACAGAAATATAAATAAGGAAACCAAACTTTTCCAAGATGAAGAATAATCACATGCAGATTTGTGCGTCATGCAGTATCTAGTTTTTTAAGTTTAAGTTCAAATAATAAAAAAGTTTTTAGCATGAATTAGTAATACAATGCCCGACAAAAAAAACCGGATACTTGAATATTTGTAAATTTATGCTAATGTTTAGTGTTATAACTTTTTTGCTTTTTTCTGTTTCCATATGTTCTAGAATAAAATTATGTTTTCTATTAATGAATAAAATAATATTTGCTTTTTAAAATATTTTTTCCAAAAGTTCGACCAGTCGTAGGTAATCACAAAAAATTCAAGTGCCCGAGTTTTTTTTTTTGTTTGGCAGTGTATATTAATTTTTTGTTTGCAGTCAAATTATTTTTATGTCTTTTATGCAATATTAAAGCTTAATAATTTATCTATTTCTGAAATAATTTTGGTTTCGTTTTAATTTGTAAAATAGCATTTTGTGCAAAATTCTTAAAATGGGAGATAATATCCATCCACTTAATTATTCTTATATGACACTCAAATTTTACCCAAAACAATATAAATTTTTAACACCAATAATAATATATTTTTACTTTATTTGTATATACAATTGAAATAGAAAAATATAACATTACAATTAAAAAGAACGTTGCATGTATAAGCAACAGTTTTCTAAGCCTTTTTTTTTTAATTTTAGAACATTTTTCACTAAATATTGGGACACCAAAAAATAAACGGACAAAAAATTCGTTTTTGTATTTTTTATTGCAAAATTTTTGTTTAATGTACAGTTATTTACAAATTTAATACTTGATACATTGTAAACTTATCGACAGTTTTATACTCTCTTGTGTATGAGAGACGCAATACTTTTTAAAAACCACGTAGTAATTACCACCAGCCTAAAACAAGTTTCAAAGAATTTTTTAACCTGAAAATTATTAAAATAAATTTTTACTTACCGCTAGATTTCCATCCTCCATAACCGCCGTTATAACCACCATAGCCGCTTCTGTATCCACTATAACCCCCGTATCCACCATAACCATGACCGCCGTATCCTCCATATCCTCCTCCATATCCGCCTCCATATCCGCCACTTCCAATCACTTTAATCACCCTGACTGAATTTCCTCCGTAACCCCCGTATCCACCATAACCCCCGTATCCTCCATATCCTCTGCTGTAACCACCCCCGTATCCACCATAACCACCGTAACCGCCGTAGCCACTGTAGCCGCCTAGATATCCAGCTACAAATACATCACAGTCACTAGGTGTCCAGACTTCCCAAAAATAAACAATAAATACCTTTAGCAAAGCTAACAATGGCGGCTAGAGCCAACAGAGCGATGAATACCTGAAACGAAATGACAACAAAATTGTTTGAAAACAGCACACCCACTATTAAATTATGCACACAACTGTTTCAGCTGCCAGTTTGTACTTGCTTTGTTATTACCTTCATAATTGTTTTAGTTCACGTAACTGATACCGAACCCTACGACGAATGAGTTTATATAGGTACCAACCAGCGTAAAAAAGCCTTGGTCGAAATCATCCCCTCTATCCACTTTTAAAGCCGGATTGATTATTTCCATAAATCCATTAACATAAAAAAACCACGAACAAGACAAAGATTGTCGTCGGTGGCCTGACCCTGTACTTTTGAAATAACAACATTCAAGAAATCGAGTATTCACATTGTTGCTTCACTTTATTTGTCAAAGAGTGAAACCGAAACTGTATCCGTCCCGACACGAGTTGTGTAACTTTTTTATGTGGTGTTGGTAAACTTGGAGGTGTTATGTATTTTTTGCAACTATGCTTACACGTAGGTAAAAAGACATTTTTAATATGTAATCAAATAATGCAAAGTGTGTAATTTTTGTAATTACTCCGATTACAGTGGTGGTACGAATTGGTAAATATCGGTTTTAGTAATTAGAACATTGCACAAGGGGGTGCAATTTGATTAATTTGCTAATTGGAATCGTTAAATAAATTGTTCGAAATCAATGCAACTGTATCCGTGCTCATATGTCACAATCTTTAATTAGCATAAAATATTGAATTTTATTCCATTAGTGCATATTTATAATAAGTCTGATTATAGATGCAAGTGTTACAATATGGGATGTGCTTAATTACCCATTTCCTGTAATAAAATTTTTGTTTTACGTGATTTTTTATTTAATTGCTTAATTATCTACAAATTATTCAGCTTGTTAATATGGCAGATGCTTTGATTAGGCTCGGCAATGAAATTATGTGCGTAAAGATTCTGATAAATTTTAGTGGAACTTTAAAGACATGACCATTTTTTACAATTGTGCAAAAAAATAATTTTCAAGTAACAGGCGAATCATTCAGTATCGTTATGGGGTGTCAACTTGTTTTTTTTTTTGAATTGTAAAATACTTATCTGGGTATAAAATAAGGATTTTTCTTGACACGGATGCACTTTTATACCGAATTTGGAATATTTACACCACATTTAAAATAAAACATTATTAAGTTGCATTTTTGAATCATCACTATCACAAATATGACTGAAGAATGTATTTACGGTCTTGGTTTAAGAACTGTCATTAAGCTCGAAATGGAAATGTCAAATGCGTATTCCTACATGCCATTACTAAATCCTTCCATAAGGAAGTGTTTGACGAATTAGTACTTGGGTACTTTAGAAGATACAAATCGATTGAGATCAACTTCATTATCTGTTAAATGTAGTAAAAAATGTGTACACTATGTTTCAAAGCAAAAGTATTAGCGTATGTTCGTAGAATGTTTTGTACAGACACATAACAACAACTATACTCTTTAAGGATGTCCGTTCCTTGCATACTAATTCCTACAGTTGTTTATAAATACATTTAAGCAGACCTTTTCGAGATTCTGATTTTCTGCGAAGAATAAAGTAAGTTGTTCCCATTGCTTATTTTAAGCAAACATTGACGCAAACGTTCAGACGTAAAAATTATGTTTCTTAAAGTTATTTATTTTTCCCACATAGGATTCTATAGTAGATACAGCTGGCATTAAGTAAAATATTTTTTTTAGTTCGAAATGTTATTATTATGAATAAACTTTTATGTACATCCGCATTGTCTCAACCTGACTTGAAATATTTTTATGCGATTCTTTTATTACTGGAACTATTAAAAATTAAACGCGAATGACTTGTCTCCTTTTGATTTATTTTTGTCGCTTCAGACATTTTTTTTAAATTTCGCACAAAGTACATAAAGTTGAGACACGAACACATCATTAATAGATGACACTTGTATTATTTAATGTGTATCTATGTTTTTGCAATAGTGAAAAAATGACCATTTAAGCTTAGAAGAAGTATTCGTTCTAAGTTACTTAAGCACGTGTGTCACAACTATTTTTTATAGTGGCGGTGCTATATTTGGAAAGCCTATTACTTCAAAAGTTTAAAATATTTCTGTTAATTAACGATCTAGAAACATTACAATATTTCATTGGTGAACTGTTTGAACAGGTTTATTAATCAAATAAAGTAATAAATTTTTGAAAGAGTCAGATTTTGAAATAAATTTAGTGTAACAACGGCAATGGTGGTTTCTCTGCGTCAAAATATGACAGTACTTTTAGTAAAACCACCATTTTTGCTTTTTTTGTACCTACGCTGTAAGTAAAGTTGATAAGTTTTAATTTAATGAGACATTTTTTTCATGTTAACATGGAAATTATTGCAGTGATTATCAATAAAAACAAAAACAGATGATACCAAATTTCATTTATTATTTATGTCTGTAGGAGGAATTTGCCAAAGATTACGTAAATATATAGGTGCAGCTAATTTATTTTGTAATTTATGGATGAGGTGATAAAGGAAGACATGTTATATTGTTAGAATACAAATATATTGCAATATTTTTGTAAAACCAATAAATTATAAATAAAAGATACTGTTTAACCACATTTTCACGTTTCTTTTTTGACTTTATTTAAGTTGTGACGTTATATTTGTCCATTTTTTGTTCTAAAAAAACAATTTTTTGTACTAAATACGGTTTAATAATAATAAATTAATAATTGGCATTATTAATTTTGCTTTTTACATCAAGCTGTCAACATTGTTTAGGTTAAAAGTCAGCTTGAGTAGCGATTTTGACATACTTAGTTATTTAATTTGGACAAAATCATTAATGAATTATCGGTTAAGTAAATTTTTCTTATAGTTTAGTGATGACAGCGGATGTACACCATTAGAGACTGACGAACCCTTTTCCTGTTACACAAAAATTATTTACTAATAAGTAGATTTGATTGGTCAAACGGATTTCTACCTGCATTGACATGATGCTGTAATAAATGCCTTTCAGACGTGTTGAAATAGTGAATACTATTATGATTAATTTGTTATATTTAGTGCACCTATAAATGGATATACGGGTTGATTATTGCATACTCATTGATTAAGAATTATGTTAAACATTATTGTCTTGGATTCTGAAACAATGCAAACGCAAATTTATTATAATGAAAATTAATCTAGCAAGATTTTAAAATTATTTTGGCGACTGAATACCTTTCTCCTTTTGTAATTATTGGTTTCTGCCAATTTTACTTCTTTATTTAGTGTCAGGTAACCAACATTTTTCTGTAATTTTGATGACACTGGCGACTAAGATTTTTTGGCCCCACTGTACTTCTCGGATGGTAGCTGAGGGAAATATATAAAAACAGAATCATTCTGAAGAACTTAATTTTATGTCTTGAGGTTTCACGGTTCATAGGATTCGAAAATGCAAGTTTTCTGTTTCTTTGTGTCTATATATTGGCTCGATTTTTGTCAAATCTTATACGTATTTTAAAAATATCGCCGTATATTGTGTGCATGGTAACACGCTTACCAAAATTATTTGTTTAATAATTCCTACCAACAATATGAAGACATCACCTCAAACTTTTGAGTAATAAATGTTATTTAAATTTTATAAAATAACCTGCTCCTACACTTGTGGTTTAGGAATCCATCTTAATGTTTTATCCTAGACATCCAGATTTTTGAAACAAAGTCAAAATTGTATAAAATTCAATTTTGAAACTATAAATCCAAATGCTCTGAAAAAGTTAAAATTTATCCGTTTATCACCCTGTTTTTAAAATCTGCAAAATATTATGAATCTAAGGTATTCTTGTGGTTTATCAAAGCATTAATTAATATTTTTGAAAATTGCTTATACAGGGTGACCAAAAAAATGAGCGAATTTATTTTATTGATCAAATCAAGGATTTCTCACCCCATTTCCCAGAAAATTTTGGAATGCAGTACTATTATTATGACTATAACATTGCACCTATCCAAATTCATATACGTTTGTTAAAATATTGAAGATGTCATGACAAAATTTTATGATTGAAAAACTGATTTGAAACAGACACATGGCATGCTTCTTTCCCTCCAATTTAACACTGCACACATACCTTTATTTTAACTTAGCAAGGTTATCATAAAAAAATAAAATTTGCAAAATCAAATTTTATAATTTTTATAAAAAACTGGATACGTTAAAGTTGTGTATAAATAAAATTAGACCAATTTTTTTTAATAAATTGCTCTTTATTTATGCATGTGGATTAATAATAATATAAAAAATATAACTTGGATATTTACGTACATAGTTATACTTGACAAGTTTTTAACAGGGACAGAGAAATATTGAATATTTTCCAGTAGAGTGTATACGAATGCCAGGTATCATTAAAAAGGGTATGTCTGCATCTATTTTGGTGAACCTGTTACAATTTATTCGAAATTTCGAAATCGAACTTCGGAAAATTAAGCAAGATATTTTAAATTTTCTTGACATTTTAGTTATTGTGCAAATGGTATAAACTATAACCGTAATTATTAAATAATTGCTATATACCATATGATGGAAAAATAGTTATCTAGGAGACCATGAAATTTGTCAAACCGAACAAGGCACACGTTGTGCTGCAAACAAAAACATAGTTTTTTAACACAAGTTTCAATGGTTGCGAGACGACTTTTTTTTGATCATATTTGGTATTTATTAGTTTTAAATGCCGTACAAAATTTTGAATTCTTGAGTGTAGAATGTTTTTAGAAATTTTGTGTAAATTGATATTTTTGGGTGCAGAAGTTTACATGAAGAATGGTTTCTTAGTCTTTACAGAAGTATCTTTATCGACACAACTTGTTTGATGCGTTTATGACATTTATATAACATTAGAAATCTACTGATTCAAAAATTATTCAGGATTATGTGTGTGTGACCTAGTAAAATCAATTATAATAGCTACATTTTGTTTGATGGCTGTGACATTTACATAACTATTATTTAACAACTTAAATGTAATTTACAAAAATATACTGACATTTTCCAAAAAGAAATATGATATTTTTTTTTATAATATTTAATCAGAGCATTTTTAACGTAACTAAGTGGTTTGTGATATGTATAAAAAAAAATTCGTCGAAAATTATTTCGACAGGACTTTCCTCGCCCCCGAAGTGCAGTACCATAAGTAATAAGTAATACCAGTAACCGCCTAAGAAATTTGATATCCTATATTTTTTTTTGTGTTTCTCTACCACATGTTATTTATTTTTTAATAACAGTATTTTTTTTAGAGATCTTGTGGAGCTTTTTTTTGAATTCATTAATGTATCATACTTTAATCACCCATACCCCGCTACTGTCCACTGTCTAGCATTCCAACATATGATGTTACGAAAATACACTTGTTTATATTTGGTCGGCAGTTCTGGAATGACTTGGTCGTCAACGTATGATAACAACTGGATAAACAAACAACAAACAGACTGTTTTATGCATTCATTAATGAATCATACTTTAATGGAAAATTATGAATGCGTTGTAAAGCATATGGATAACTACAGTGTAATAATAACAGTTATCCATTCTATTATTGTATTCTCACATTGTGAAAATGGGATGTGCTGGTTTTGATTTGAAGGAAAAAAAAATCTGGACAGACGGACGGATAGACAGGCAAACGGAAACGGAAGATCTATTTCTTCGTACTCTAGGGGTCATGAAAGGTCGAGAAAACGTAGAAATAGAGAGTCGGCCAACGGACTCGATTACAATACTTCTTTCGCTTACGCTCGGGAAGTAAAAAAAATAGTCTAAATAAATAAAAAACAGACACACTTTCTGATCAATCTTTGTTACAGAATATGTATTGGGAAATTCGAGTCAAATGAATGACATCTTCTTCCACACAAGTTTTTTTTCAAATGTTGTTTTCCACTACATAGCTTTTTAATATTTCCAAGTGCAGTAAAAATTAGTTAACGTGGGAGTGAATCACTTAATTCTATTCACCGGCAATAGAACAATCGATTGTACAGATTCATAGACACAGATTTTTTTTAATTAACTACTCTCCTTTTCTGTTTTTTTTTTTTTATCTTAAACAATTAATACTAATACTTAATATCAATCATAGAAGAGAGTGGAGCAGGTTTGTCAGAGATTTTTTTTAAACGGAATGCACTAACGTAAAATAATCTGGCTAAAACACAGTAATATAAATCGGTCATGATTAAAATGATGTTCGTTTAGAGTTTTGTTTTGTAAAATTTATTTTATTACTATGTTTTTGTGAATTTTATAGCTGAATATAAATTAACAAGAAATAATAGCTACTGTGAGGTAAATTTCCTTACGTTGAAAAATAGTAAAATCCTCTTTTGTCTTTAATAACTGTGGTTTATTGACGATTAATGTGACTATAAAAGATGAAGTCCTTTTCTTTCAGATAACGTACAAGTCATAAAGTATCTGTCGGTGAGATCCATCAAAGATTTACACAGTTTTTAAAACGCAAAGCATACGTCACACACAAAGGAAAAATGTATTGTTTTAGTATTTACGTAATCAACAGAAAAATAAAAAACTCTATTTAAAATTATGCGTATCTATTGTTTTAATCGTCATAATTTGTTTTGTGTTATTTAATATCTTAAATGTTTTATTATTTGACATAAAAAAAATATAGTTTTACATCGCGACGCCGACGCAAATGTGCGTCATATTTGCAACATACTAAATTAGGCTTTCCCATTAAAGCTATAGACACCCCACACATAATTGAAAAAGTGCAAACATTACTGGATCAAAATGGATTTTTTCTTGGAAACAAAAAACTAAAAATTGATATAAAAATAAATGTATTCTTGCAAACCAATATGTATATAGGTACAAAGTAAAGTAGTGTCTAAATCACAAGTTTTAAAATAATTTCACAGAAAAACACGATGATTCATGAAAAGGTTTTTTCACCACCATCCTCCACCAGATCTCCAACCTCCTCCTAAAAAACAACCTCGATCACATAAAAAATGAAAAAATTAAAAACCGATTTCTACCTCCACTTTTCCATCCTCCTCCATAGCCACCCCCATAACCGCCTCCGTATCCTCCATAACCGCCATTCCAGCCGCCGCCTCCAGATCTCCATCCACCGCCTCCAGATCTCCATCCGCCGCCTCCAGATCTCCATCCGCCAAGACCAGATCTCCAGCCGCCTCCCCCGTAGCTGCTGATGTAGCCAGCTTGAGCCAAGCTCGCGACGACGGCAAAGATTAATAAAAAGGCGAACACCTGAAAGAAATGCCATCCGTAAGGTTGGGCAAGAAACTGCAGCTGCGAAGCTGTATTAGGTCAAATAATGTTTGTAAATAATGAGCTGACATTTTCTTGAAAAGGTATTTTGAGATGATCAAAGAGGAAAAATTTTAAATAGCACGAATTCACTACACTTGGATTGTGGGGCACTTATGTTATTTATTTACCTTCATATTTGGATTAAAATCGGAAACTGGATACTAACCCTGCTAGATCAACTTATATATAGTAAAATAAAACCTTGAAACTCCCGTCTGAGATTGTTGGGGCCCATCATCCCCTCTATTAGAAAAGATCGATCTGTGGTAATTACAGGTTGTGTATATTTACCGGCTTTTCTTAATTTATATTGTCTGAACTCTCAGCTGTGCAAGAGTGCATTCTTTTGTACAAGATTATTTGAATAATTTTCGAATTAATTAGCTAAATTATACAAATGTGATGAGAAAATTGCGTTGCATTTCATTTTCAACACGTGTAGTTTTTTTTTGTAATTTATGGCACGAAGCGACTATTTTGTACGTCAGAATATAATTTTTTGTTTTTTTTTTTTTTAATTGTAGTTGTACTATCGCCCACAGCTTGCTGGAATATTCACAAACGAGGTTACATCCTTAACTTTTAACAAAATTTATTATTTCACATACCTACAACAAATAACAATGAATGTGCAAGGCTTGCTGCTGCAATTTTATTAAAAAACAATTATCAATTTGGAATTTTTTTTATTACGCAAATGTTTAAGTAAACTCTCACTTATTGCACATCGTAGAAATATGTAGATATGTGAAAAAAGTAATATTTTTTTAAAATTATTATCTGAACCCTGGTTTACAATATAACACTTATTGCAACAAATAATTCTTAAATTACGTTTAATATATACGTGTATATAAAAGTGACCCACATTTACAAGCATGCGTTTCGACTGAATTTATCTGACAGCATCAATATTTATTTATTTGTGTTTCGAAATTTACAAATTACACAAAGATAAATCACAGAACAGATTTATTGTGTTTTTCAATTTGGTGGCAGCTTCGAAACTACAGTGAGGAATTATTTCATGTCTGCCAACTACGAAATCGTAATAATGACAAATAAAAAATTCACAACTTACTGCCTACAGAAGTACAACTGATCTTAGCTTAAAAATCCTAAATAGATTTGACTATAATTATTTTTATAAAATATGCGATATTTGTTTTTAATGTTACTTCCCTTTTCGCTTTTTTTTGAGTCATTTTGCATAATAAAATTGTTGAGACGATGAGTTGTTTCTGAAGTAGTGGGAAAAACCATTTATACTTTTTTTTTTTAAAGAGGAGAGTAATAGAATACCTACACCAAAGTGAATTTCAATAAAAATTGGGTTATAATAAATACAAAACAAAAATCGGGATTTTTTATGCATAATAGACATAAAAATCTTGACGGATTTATACACGTTTTTGATATCCTAAAGATATAAAATATTGAGTTTTATAGAACAGACATATTTTTAACAAAACGTAATCTCGCCTTCACATTTTTTAATCTTTGAATCTAGCCACGGAATAAACATAATGATCTGAAAAAATAATACGTTTACTGATTTTAATTTTAAATTTATCTTTCATCTCCACCTGACTGTAGACTAAGTAAACATTAAGCGCATTTTAAGCTACACATTCCACCATAAACCACATATTGTTGTAAAAAAATTTCATGGAATATGAGATCGTTCTGCTTTTGTAATTTTCACCTAATTAACATATATAACTAAAATCTCTCATATGTATGTATTTATGTACATATTTAAATCTATGAGCCAACTGCTCTACAAATCTGTTGATGTCATATATAAGATATATTATATTCTATAATTTAAATTTGAATAGAACATACAGTCTGAATTTTCTCAATGTGAATTGCATAAAAGCTATGACCAATTGTGTAATTTTTACACAAGTGTATTAATTAAAATTTAATAGCATTTTGATGTGTCATTGAAAAATAGGTAAAATATGTATTCTTAATATTTTATTACGATGTTTATAATGACTGACGGTTGCTGGTATTAAATTTGACATAAATTGTATTCTTAAATTCATCGGGCAAACTTTCGAAGTACTGCTAACGGTAAAAAAGAAAATATTACATAAAATTATGGGATTAATTTTAGTCACTTTTTAGTTATTTAATGGTATGTATCGCGAATGCTAAATTAAGAATGTAAAATTCATTGATCTTTTTCACTTGATTAATAAATTCCTCTGTCGTTATTTAATATGCAGAATTTAATATAACCGTGAAATAACTAGTTTGCACCTAATAAAATTGTAGTAAACTATACCGTCTGTAGTTTCAGAGGCAATTGTTAACAAATCACGGTAAACAAAAAAACATAATTAATTATTATGTTACTTTCGATCCATAAAATATCGGTTCTAGTTACGAAACCATTTCATCATGTAGTTTAACTGTTAGAAGTGTTAAAAAGTATATTCAGCAGTTTGTAAATAATATCTTAGATTCCGAATGGAACTGTTTCAAGTACAGCAATAATAATAATAATAATAATAATATATTTATTTATCCAGCAGACTAATATATAGTCCATAGTGGATACAACCACAGGAACAATATTAAATTTACAATAAACACATAAACAATATTAAATTTACAATAAACACATAATGCTCACAACATTGGTACACTTACACATGATTCAATTCCAACAATTGTTTCCTTACATTAGCTTTACTAAAATTATGAAAAAATATATCTAGACGACCATCACAAACAGAATTATATAAGCGAAAAGCATATATCAATGGACAGTTATAATGATGAAAAGTATTGGGTATAGCAAAATAAAATAACTTTGGACATCGGCTAATTTGTCTTGGGATGTTGAATTGGATTTCATGGAGAAGCTCCTGACAACATATCTGACCTAAAGTGAGTTTTTGTAGAAAAATTAAACTAGCTGCATTTCTTCTTCTTATTAAAGATTGTTCATTGACAATAGACAATAAGCTAGATTGATCACAATGTCTGCTTGGATACCTATTATACATTTTTAAAAATAAATACTTTGCAAATTTGCGCAAGACATTCTCTAACAAGTCAATATATTTTTGGTAATACGGCTTCCATACAATGCAACAATATTCCATTCTTGACCTTACTAAAGCATAAAAAAGTATTTTGATACATTGTATGTTAACAAAATCCATGGTGTTACGACGAATAAATCCTAGCTGTTGCATAGCAGTCTTGGTGACATGCAGGATGTGTGGGGCAAATGACAAACTACAGTCCATAACAACACCTAAATCAGATATCTGTTGACAATTCTCAAGTACATAACCATCTAAATTGTAATAATAGGTAATAGGTTCACGTGTACGAAAGAAGGTAATCTTTTTACATTTACTTTTGTTAATTTCAAACTTATTACTATTACACCAATGCAGTAACTTTTCTAAACTGGTTTGTAGCTCATAACAGTCCTCAGCCCTATTGACAACTTTTGCCAGTTTTAAGTCATCGGCGTATACAAATGCCCTACATCCCAAGTCTTTTACGACGTCGTTGTAAAATATAATAAAAAGAAGAGGACCTAAATTTGATCCTTGACCAACTCCACTGTTAACTTTATATATCGACGATCTAAATCCTTTACACAAAACTCGTTGTTGCCTATCAGTTAACCAAGATTTAAGAACAGATATTAAATTATCGCATAAGCCAAAACTTTCCAACTTTTTTAATAAAATACAGTGATTAACTTTGTCAAATGCTTTAGATAAGTCGGTATATATAGCATCAACTTGTGATCTTTTATCTAAAGCATTTGAGACAAACTGCGTGAATTCGCATAAGTTAGTTGTAGTGGAGCGGCCCTTGACAAAACCATGTTGTTCAGTTATAATATCAGATTTCACATGGGCATAGATAGCATCTGTTAATATGCACTCAAACAATTTAGCAAAATTTGGGATGAGAGATATGGGCCTATAGTTCTTAATGTTCGACTTGTCACCCGACTTAAAAATTGGCACAACATTTGACGTTTTCCATACTGTTGGATACTGTGAAGATATTAATATCCTATTAAATATATGACAAAGTGGAGATAGAAAACAACTTATGCAATCCACAATCAAAAATGCCGGTATGTTATCAGCACCACAGACATTATTCGCTTTTATACCCTTTACAGCCTTAAGAATGTCGTTGTCACTTATAGAGAACCTATTTAAAATAACATTTTTTACACAGTCTACTCTAACATCAAAAGATGGACAACAATATTTAAAACAGTTATCACAGATATTTTCACAATTATCACGGCATATTACATCGCAGACATGGTTCTCGTTATCGCAGTTGTACATACTTTTAAAGTGACTAGCAAATGTGTTGACTATATCTTGTTGAGATGTCAAGGTATGATTCTCAAAGGTCATGAGACCAGGAACATTCGTGGCTTTCTTTTTTTCATTAACAAACGACCAAAATTTTTTCGGATGGCTTTGTAGAGAAGTTTCAGATTTTCTTATAAACTCATAATATGTGTACCTAATGTCTTTTCTGATTTCACAGCGTAACTTCTTCACTTTATCAAGATGATATACTGACTTGGTTTTTCTATAAATATCCCAATGTCTATTCTTTGTTTTGATTTTGTTGATAACAGATCTAGTATACCAAACAGGGTAATTTTCCCGCTGACCAAAGGACTTTGAAATTGGTACATATTGGGAGATGTTGGTAAAAATGATTTCATTGAATTTCTCACAGGCCAGAGTAGGATCAGCAGCATCTAAAACTGGCAACCAGTCAGTCCCAGCAATGACGAGGAGCTTTCCCTATTGATTTCTTTTTCTTTAACTGGTTAAACTAAATGAATTGTATGTTTCTTATAAGTAAATGTCATTGTCATTCTTCGACAGATTCAGATTATTAGAATTTTTATACCAAACAGA